CAGCGGCACACTCAGTGCAGAGGAGTGCGACATTTGGCAAATCTTTGTCACCATATAACCGCCGAGTGACGACATTAATTTCTCTCAAATCGAGTAAAAAATTATTAGTTTCAACTCTATGGCAACAAGCGCACTCGTCCAAATCTATCTCAGATCCCAATGTTTCTTCATCATCCGAGGCAGATAAATCACTTGAAATAACTTCTTCGATGTCTTCGTCAGAGCGCTGAATTTCAAAACGTAATTCTGGTATATTATGCACCTCCCTTCCACAAATTACGTCACTCGAATGGCGTCTTTCCGCTTGACGACGAGTCATGGATCGTGTAACTCGCTGAAGAGATATACACTTGTGCCCGAAATTATTCATACCCTAACGTCATTTCCACAAATTACGAGAAATAGACCAAAAAATAGTTATCTAAAACTTTAAAGCAGATTTAAACCATTTGTGAACCATATAACATGTATTTAGAAACCAAAAAACATTATTTTTTCAGTTTTATAAAGAGATTCAAAGGAAACATAAAACTGACTCATGACCAAATTTATTCGTACCCTGAATCATGCAATAGTTAATATCATGGCCTTTTTACTCGTGATAACTTGTAAACGCTTTGGGTAATGGTCAACAAGGTTTCTGCATGTATCGACGCTAAGTTTTATCCATTTTTCCAAGGCATACTGTTCCAATTCTTTCTAATTTTTAGGTTGTCTCTTTTTCATCTCTATTGTCAGTACGCGCCGCAAATTCTCAATTGGATTGAGATGGGGAATTTGACTAGGCCATTCCATGACATTGATGTGAGAATCATCGAACCACTTCTTGACTATTTTCGATGTGTTCTTCGGAATATTATCCTGCTGAAGAATCCAATCAGGACAAAGAAAAGGCGTTCTCTGAACGAATCTACCACGAGGTCACGAGCCTGGAAGAATGCATTAATTGGTCATTTGCTCGCCATCGTTCGTGACGGCTGCAGCTTGCTAGCCGACCCTAGTGATGAGTGTAACGTTTATAGATGACCTTTTGATTCAATTTGAGTAATCTGGATTACGATTCAATTGGTGTAATCTGTTAAAGTTAGAACAGCACATACGATTGAGTATTCAATTTAGTCGCGTCCTGCACACATATATGCACTATTATATCAACCGCCTGCAAGTTATTTGCGTATTCGGATTGTTCGCATTATTAGAATTTTGAGTAGAGCAATCGTCATCTGCTATTGCCGCTTCTGATACGTCCAAGTTTGTTGCGGAACTTGCTGGTGGGCGGGCACGCCGACGTATGTCGGTGGCTGTGGTAAGAAAGTGAATTTGTCATGAATCTTGGCGATCGTTGCAGGTAAGACTTGGCTGATGGTCGGAATTTTGCGATGTAAACTTAGGGGTTGTGTATTGCCAATTCCGGATTCATATGAATTTTATCGGTGTGTGTTGATTTAAATGAGGCTTGCCGAGTGGTATAGCGATAGAACGAGGTGTTCTATGTGGACGGGTTTCTTGTGAAAGGTAGTACTTCTGAAGATTGATCAAGCCCATTCTATCCGGCCAATTCTAGAAGTTTTATTGAGTGGCGACAACAACGTTGATACCCTTATGTTGATATCCGACACGGGTGGAAGAAGTTACTTCTTAACGGCACACGTCGCACAACAAAGTGGACGTTATTGTGCCAGGTCCGCCCGACTTTGCTCATCTCGTCACCTCGTGCACCGACCTAACTAGCTTCTAACCGGGACTTGACGAGAGTACGTGGCAGCTGAACCATGATCGCGGTGCTATTGTCGCTGTTTGTGTTGACCGTGTGCGCGTTTGAAGTGTCCTCTGCTCCATCATCGTTTAGACTTTAGAGCGTTTTGTTGTTCTTTGTTACCATGGTGTGGCGGGATTTTTTTAATGAACCTATTCGAGGGTATCAACCATCAAGATGCGCGAGTTGCTCAAGTTTTATCGTTTTGCGTTTGCGATCTCTCAGCTTGTACAGGGCGTTTTGGCTAAATTAGTTCGGGAATCGTTTGTCAGCATTTAGGCTGTCCGTCAGCTCTTTCCCATATCTCCTTTCTGCTTCACATTTTCCTCAGAGAATTTGAGCTCGTGATTAGTCTGCTACATTTCAATTCGTTGCACGCTTCCCCGCGGCAAGACGGCTTACTAAAGTATTCAAGAAAATTAAAGTCAGATTCTTCAGAGGAGACTTGATTAGTCGAAATTCATTCAAGACAAAATTCATCCTGTCAAGTCAGATTAGGTCGTTTTCAGCTATTCTTAATCAGCCTGGGACCTCGAGTGCCAAATTCTTGCTGGCTTTTAGTCGTGATTTTTGCGATTTTTGTCAGTCCGTTTTCATGTTACGCTTTTATAATTTGTTTTTAACCTTTAAAGATTCGTTCTTAACGTAAAGAAAGTTCCCAACCTTCCTGAAATTCTCGAGAACCTGCAAATATTAGCCTAACGTCATTTTAATGGCCACAAGCTGGGAACTTTATTGTAAAGCCTCCCCCATTAACAGGCAAGTATAACGCCGCCGCCATGCAACTTGCGTTAGAAAGCCCCGTCCACACGTTCAAACTTATCGTCAGTCTTGCATGTCATGCCAGGTTTGAGCGATTTTGACCGAAGACTGAAGAGCGTCCACACGCTCAAACTTTCCTTCAGTTTTTAGTGCGTTCGCGGCAATGGACGAGCTAGTGCCGCTCGCTGCAGTGAGCGCAGTTTGTGCCACCATAATTAGGTTAAAGCGATGAAAAACGTATGCGGTGGCTCCGAAAATGGTTTTAAAAAATACCACAATGAGGGTTAATAAACAGCATCCCTACAAACAGCATTGACGACTTCTTTTTGGCACATTCATTTCGATAAAGACTTTATTTTCTTCGTTACAAAGTCTCTGTTTGCTGTATGATCAACTTCTTTGAACTCAGCGATAAATGCCGCATAGGCCAGTGCTCTATTGTTCTTAACTTCTTGTCACTGTAGTTTTTTGATCGAATTTACCATAAACATGGGAAACTACGATATAACTCCATAAATTCACCAAAATAAATCGTAAAACCAGTGTCGGATATCCTGGGATATGAAAAACTAGAGCTAGCGAGGATTTAGAACAATGTCACATCTCTCATCATCAATATAGACTGAGATAGAGTAAAAGTTTGACCAATTAGTCGGTTGCGCGTCCACACGCTCAAACTTATCGTCAGTCTTGCATGAACCCAAAGGTCTCGCCCGTCCGTCTTTTCCAGGTTTGTCAAACCTCAAACTCCGCCCACCCGTCATGCAAGACGTCAAACTTTGAGCGTCCACACGCTCCGTCTTGTCGGTCAAACCTGGCATGACATGCAAGACTGACGATAAGTTTGAGCGTGTGGACGGGGCTTATATAATAGAGCTACTCCAACCTAACGGTCTCGGGATCTTAGCCTTAAACCATTGAAAAAAAACTCGTGTAAAACCACCCCGTATCAAGATAGTGCGCTAGACAGATGGTGTCTTACTTATCCCACACGTCTCGAGACCGACTGTGTCTTGCAAATCCGACACGAACTTGGTCAACGAATCCCTGTACTAAAGTTAAGGTAGAACTAATAACATAATCAGTCAGGTTTTGCTTAATATCGCCGCCTGACATGTCACCCGAACATTCTCCAAATCAAAACTTCATAAGTTGACACTCGTGAGTCTACGCTGGAAGGACTATTACACTACTTAAACTTGCACACTTGGTTCTGATAATATTTGTTTCCCTTTTTTGTCGAATATTTGGCATGCAGCGGTCTGTTCCTTTCGAATCAGTTTGAATGTGCTTCAGAGAAAATTACCCACAGGCTTTCGTGTTTGTTCAACATACAATGCAATGTACGCTGAATTTGAATTTTTGCACAATATCTTCTCGAAAAATGGGTTTCCGTTTCACCCGGTGTTTACCAAGGAATTAATTTATATTGTTATCGCTATCGGTTGTTCCCGATAGCGATGGTGGAAAAATTGTCAATGGAGTTCATTTTAATACTGTGGCTCTGCACCCGAAACTATATCGAGCGGATTAAAAATTTTATTCATGAAATACTTTTCAAATGTTCATCTCAATGTTATGTTAACAAACAACTTTAATATCGATTCTCTCTTTAAGTACAGAGATGCACGATGCACTCCTGCGTACGTTTGTATGACGACACGCAATCGTTGTTCTTGACGACGAAGCAGAGTGCGGAGTTGTAAGACTGGCCATTTACTAGCGCGTCCACACTTCGGCTGTATGCTAATATTCCATAGTGCCTTTTTTCGATTTACGCTTCCACTTCCGGTCCTTTTGATTTGCGTATTATAGAATCCATGTATTTATTTGAACAAAGGCCTATAGTTAGAATGCAGCCTCTTGCGGTTTTCCACTTGAAATTGCGAACAGATAGGTTTCGCTTTGTTTTTACTTTGTTTTTATTTGTAAATTCAGTTTTCAACTTCTGTGTTTTCTGAATTTAGACGGTACTAACAACTAACTTCATCTGCATTCTAGTATTTGCGAACTGAAGATCTGAACTCAGATACGTTTTTATGGCACTCACGTGTAAAGCAAAACTAGATCCGATTAATTCTGATAAAATTAACTCTCTTCTCATAATGCAAAAAGATGCCTGGTGTTCCGATACAGTTAAATTCATAGCACGTGATGCCAATATAGAGGTGCCATGCATTAAGATCTTAGTCTCGCCCCATGTAGTGTCTCTCGTTTGCGGAGTGCCGCTATAAGGGTGTTCGAATCGTGTCAAAGGTGATAAAGGTATTGGAGTTTAGCATAGATTTGAATGAAGCTAAGCACTATTCGTATGATGTGTTGGTAATTCACACCATAATTTGAAGTAAACGTGACTGGGGTAGTTCCATTCTCGCCGTTGTTCAAGAGAGAGAGTTACAAGTCCGCGCAATCATCTTGCCGAATAACAAATGAACTGTTGTTGAATAACTGTTGAAATGTTGCTGCAGTGAAAGCAAATAACTATGATAATATGCTCCTCAGAGTAAATTTCATAAAATAAATTATTAGAGGTGGTGTAAAGTATGACAAGGATGTATTTCCTTTGGCAATCAAAAATTTTTATGTGACAATCATCATGTCGTCCCGACGGAAGACATGAGTGAGCTCGACTGCCTTGACGGTTTATTATTAAATAATTCATACTTTCAGAACCAAAAACTCACTCTCGTCGATTGGTAAATTTGTATTTTGTTCTAAATTGAGCCTCTAGAGTAAAATCAAGATTCCTTCAGAGTTTCCTGCCCCAGTTTCCCAGCGATGTTGAGCTCAACGCGCATGTATTGCCTGGCGGGGCTGGGGGTGACGGCAGCGTCAGCGCTGCTAGCGACCTACGTCTGGCACAAAAGAGAGGAGATGTTGTACGTCTTTTTCACCTTTCGTACCATACTAACTTAACATAGTGCGTATTAATATAATATATCTTGTATTCAAAGTTCAGAACATTACCATTGAAGCCATCAAAGCGAGTTTTAGACATCTGTCGTCAAATATGCCCAAATGTCATACACATTTCCACCACGAAATTTTATTACCATTTGTGCTTGCAACAGCTGGGTGTAGATTGGCAGTGTAGACCTTGTAATTATAAATCTATCAATACTTTTTACCTGCAACACCTGGGCGGAGATAAGCCGTGTAGAAGACTTTGTAATTAAAAATCTATAAATTAATTTACCTGAAACAAGTGGGTGGAGATTGGTCGTGTAGAAGACCTCTTAATTAAAAATCTAATAATATTTCTACCTGCAACAGGTGGATGGAGATCAGCCGTGTAGAAGACCTCCTAATTAAAAATCTAATAATTTTTCTACCTGCAACAGGTGGATGGAAATCAGCCGTGTAGAAGACTTCTTAATTAAAAATATAATAATATTTCTACCTTCAACAGGTGGGTGGAGATTGGCCGTGTAGAAGATCTCATAATAAATAATTTATTAATTTTTCTACCTGCAACAGGTGGGTGGAGATCGGCCGCGTAGAAGACCTCATAATTTATCCCATCAAGTCTGGCCACGGGACCAGCGTGATGAAAGCCACGGCAACCAGATCTGGGTTGCGGAGCGGACCTCTCACGGACAGGTAATTATTTATGCTGCACCTATATTAAGTGAATACGGGGTAATTAAATTACTAGATGTTTAGATTGACGTAACAAGGGTTTGATTTTTTTTTGCAAGTAGAAACCAATTATTTTTAATTCAATATTCGCATTGCTGAATTACTTCGATAGTAAATTAACCTAGCTATAATTTAGAGAGTAGAGTAAATTCCAACTTTAGATTCAACTTTTAATTCATTATTCTCATTGCTGATTATCATCGATAGCAAATTGGCCTATAATTTCAGAGTTGAGTAAATTCCAACTATAGATTCAACATATTTTCTTTAAAAATGTATCAGAGAAGAGCTCATCTTGTAAGTTCTGAACTGATGATACAGCTAGTCTCCTAAACTAATAGAATATGATGAATATACTTGGCATATTATTTACATCTCAATTCTTCGATATTTAGTAATTCCAAATTTAGAATAATCTGACTGTAAAATTCATCAAATCCTATGACGAAACGCATTAACGAAAAATAGATATAAACCTCCTCTAGGCATGATAAATCGAAAAAATTTTTTACTTAAAATTGGCAATGAAGATATTAGATGAAGATATTAGCGCTAAGTTCATCTTAAAATAATTGGTATAAAACTGCGCGGGATCAATTAAAATAAATAATAAATCAGTATTTCGCTAATGCGTGAATAGTATTAATAAATTGAATAAATAGGATTATTAGATTAAATATCCCCACCGTATCAGAAATATTTACGAGAACAATCGTTAATGAATTATTCATGCTCGAAAGAAAGGACAAATTGGTCTGAAATTTGTATTTTCCATCATCTATCCATGCATGCGAGTACTGTATAGCTTCAGGTGATTGATTTTTGCAATCCATCAATATGTCATTCATGGTGGTAGCGGTGCAGTAATAAGTAATAAAAAACATTGGTATGCAAGTCATATATACAATATGCGTACATATGTTCCGGTTTTATCAACAGAGCATTTGTGGTGGTGTTGGTGACGCCGGAAAAGATGGTGCACATGAACTCGGGTATGGTGCCCATGTTGGCCACCATCAGCGCTGCCATCACAGAGAGCTCGGTGGTGCTTTCCTCTCCCGTCACCAAGGCAACCAATTCTTTCGATCTCCACAAAACTGTTCAGGCTGAGCCGCTGGAGTTTTTGTGAGTTGTGCTGTCTCCTGAGAAAGTAATACTCCTTTAGCGGTCACTAAAAGTAATACCATTAATTCTGCTTTTAAATTTGAGCCGTCGCCGCTCCCAAAAGTTTAGAAATCATAGAATTTACCGAATTTCTCCTGAATTAGGATACACCTGCTAAATTTAAGCTATAACTATTATAATCGTTATTGAATGCCAGGCAACGAAAATATACATAAAATTACACAGTTTTGCTCCCAAAATACACATAATTACTCTCATACTGTGATTATTGAGCCAAAAATCAGCCGTCATGTCAATCAGCCGTTGCCCAGTGGTTAAAGTTCAGAGTACCAAGATTGGAGCAGAGAGGCGCGGGTTCGATCCCAGCACTGTGCGCCAGTTTCTGGTCAGAATCGGCAAGAAGGCCGGGCGGACAGCAAAATTGGAGCAGTGAGTTGCGAGATCAAGCCCGCAAAATGCTGCGAATGTACTGCGATGTTCAGAATCGGCGACAGGCCTACGGCCTAATAAATGCTGAAACCGCTATTATTATTACGCTATTATGTGCGGCGTGTTGGCTGACGAGACAGTGTATAGTGCTGCCATGATTTGGTCTCAACATATTTATCTAAATGCTAGGATTTCTTATGACATCCCGTAGAGAGTCACTCAACTTCAATGAATGCTTGACATTCGAAGGACGTAAAACTTTCGCTTGTTTAGCCTGCAAGCAACTCCGAAGCGTGGCTACGACTGCGGGGAGGCCACGGCCAAGTGGATGCAAGAAGTTCTCTACCACGAAGTCGAGCCCTCGAAGAGGCCGCAGGTGCGACTCATCTTCGTCGGCGACCCGGAGACTTTCAAGAACGTTGCCAGAGCACCGAACGTTTACCCCTTCACCCAATTCAAAAACACAGATCTGGTATGGTGGTGCTTTCCTCTCCCGTCACCAAGGCAACCAATTCTTTCGATCTCCACAAAACTGTTCAGTCTGAGCCGCTGGAGTTTTTGTGAGTTGTGCGGTCTCCTGGGAACGAAGTTCTCCATTAGCAAGATATAAAAATTATATCACTTATTCGACTACTAAATTTAGACTGCTTTCGCTCTGAAAATTATGGGCATCTTGTACTAACGATGTATAAAGCTATGAAAAATTATTGATAGAACACGCGTCATTAACAATTTAGCATGTTTTTGTAAGTTTCAAGCGCAAATCTGGTTAAATTGAGTCCCCAAAATTCCTGCAGTGAACTATCCGGTCTGAAGTTAAATTTAAATATATGAAACAATTGAAATAGTTAGACACGAAGGTAATTTCAACCATTCTATCCTCAACTTAATTCGTAATCAATCTAAGATTTTTATGCCAACATGACCATTTGCTAACAATTTAGCCTGCAAGCAACTCCGAAGCGTGGCTACGACTGCGGGGAGGTCACGGCCAAGTGGATGCAAGAAGTTCTCTACCACGAAGTCGAGCCCTCGAAGAGGCCGCAGGTGCGACTCATCTTCGTCGGCGACCCGGAGACTTTCAAGAACGTTGCCAGAGCACCGAACGTTTACCCCTTCACCCAATTCAAAAACACAGATCTGGTAGGAGCAAGCAGAGAGATCATTATGCTAACAGAATAGGATAACCTAGTCTAAGTATAGTTTCAGCTGGAATTCAAGTAAAGGATGTGCATGGAAAACGATAAAAAAGTATATTTAAATGAATTAATAGTTTATGATTGCAGCATTACTCAAATAATGGATCTGCATAGGAAGCGAAATTAGAGTATATTTTGATTTGGAATTCCCGCGAGTGATATACAATTTTACAAGTTTGCCGTTAGGTGTACGTAGGGACTGTTGTGATTCACTGTATTTCAGTGTGTATAAACTGGTATTTTGTATGCATTGCTGTAATTGAATGCCCGAGCGCGTTGCTGTATTCTTCTTTATGAATGCACAAATTTTATTTCCAGTTGATCACAATTTTCTACGTGGCCTAGAATGGATTAGTGATGCTCGCGATTGGGAACGCAATTATTTTGCTTTTATCACGAGTTGTTGGACGCTCACGCGTAGCGTTAATATCTTAGATTTCGTCATTAATGCATTGGACGAATTAATATTTCTGTTGTGTTTCAGCGGCTCTATCACGACACTTGTGCTTTCCACGTCACGTCACCGTCTAGCCTTGATGATCTCAACACGCGTTTGGAGACACCAGTGACCATGAACCAGTTTAGATCGAACATCGTCGTTAGCGGACAGCCGGCTTTTGAAGAGGACAATTGGGCCTACGTCAAATTTGGCGATTCGACAATCCTGCGCACGCTCAAACCACGAGAGTCGTAAGTCATTTCGACAATCCTGCGCACGCTCAAACCACGATAGTCGTAAGTCAATTCGCCAATCCTGCGCACGCTCAAACCACGAGAGTGGTAAGTCAATTCGCCAATCCTGTGCACGCTCAAACCACGAGAGTGGTAAGTCTATTCGACCATCCTACGCATGCTCAAACCACAAGAGTCGTAAGTCATTTCGACAATCCTGCGCACGCTCAAACCACGAGAGTCGTAAGTCATTCGACAATCCTGTGCACGCTTAAACCACGAGAGTCGAAAGACAGTTTACTGGACGTTAAAATCCGTGGACATAAAAACTGAGAGGGCTACGGATCCCATGAATCTGTGATAGCTTATATGAATTCTAAATTGTGTGAAATTTAATAATTTCGTGAAATCTGAAAAATATTTATTACTCGTGACTAACTAATACATTCCAGAACTCGCAGGACAACAATACATCAATGGTAATTGAATAACATGATAGCTCTTACTGGTTCACAAATATATCCATCTGCTTTATTCTCTTTCTTGCCAAAGTTTACATGCATAAATATTGTTTAATAAGATTTTAACGACATTTTGTTTATTTTGAATTGGTAATGCATGTTTTTCAATTTTAGTTTGATGTTTACAATTATTCATTGAGAATTATGGTCGAATTGAATACAAAAACACCAAAGTATTCCAAAATATATCATTTTAAATATAACATCTGTTGCATATGAACTAAATGATACAACATTTGTATATAGGTGTCAGTCAGTTGCTTCGAGCGTCGTTAAATTTACCTTTGGAATATTACAGTAAGCTTCACTTGCGAGACCTAAAAGGAGTGAGGTGATGGTCAGTAGGTTTTACTCTTGCACTAGATGTAATATGTTGCAGGTGCATCCGCATCAACGTCAGGCCCGATAGCGGCAAGCGCCAGAACGAAGTGTTGGACGTAATGAGGAAGTGAGTAGCAGTCGAGATATGTGATTTATTACCTGTTGAAATTATTCTTTGCTGCATTTTCATGATACTTTTCTACATTTCTCCACAAACATCGAAAGGCTCCGTATCACTTTTTTCCCATTTGTGAGAAATTTAAGCTACTCGAGTAACATGAGGTACTATACTGACTACTGATAATGCAGTGTTTTCTGAACACTTTGAACATGTATCACATTTACTGCTGTGTGCGTTATTTTTACACCATTTTCATTGCTGCGTAGATGTCAATGTAAAAACTCTTTGTCCAATCTATAAGATATTTATTTTTGGATAACTTTTATAATGGTAATTGAATTATATAGCGTGATGCGAGATCCGCTCACCCCCATTGGTTTATGAAAGCATCCATAAAATAAATAATCGTATGACGTGTAGAATGCAAACGACATAGGGAAAAATGTGTCGCATATTTCTGGCTCATGACGTGTTTGGTGTTGTGTGCCACAGGTACAGAGTGCCTCCAATGCCGGAGAAGCTGGCTAAGCAATGGGCGCACAAACCCATCTTCGGGCTGCACATGGCGCTGGACCAGCCAGGGGACATCGCAGTTGGTGACACGGTCTATGCCGTCAGAAGGAAGCCTGACTGGTTCCTGTAACGCTTGCTCGTCTTGGCCAATTCGTGACTGAGGAAACCGTGGTTCCTACACCCCGTTAAAATATGATGAAAGTGAGGACTGACATGAATGCAAGCTAGATTTGAAAGCCAGATTTGCAATTTTAGAACTAATTCATAGCCGATTGTGGTCAAGGAAGGCTTTGAGGGAGCTCGTTATTCGACATCAGTAAACAGTACTTATGTTACTATTGTCATTGCAATAGAGTTATGAATCCGATTCTGTTATAAATGAACATTTCAACTGAAATTCATGCATAAACCAAAACTTAATCAAGCGATTATTATTATTATCTCTTAGGTCGTTTTCTGGAGCGCTGCATAATCTACGCGGATTCCGGGACTTAAAAAAGACAAATTGGCTTGCAAATAATCCATGGAGGCTTTGCCTCCTCACTGCTCTGGAAACGCAATGCGATTTGACGATATAAATCATTGTTCTTAGTTTAGTGCACATTAATCATGTATAACATACTCGTGAATTTGCTAAAAAAAACTTCCAAGTATTTTATTCAAACGACAAAATTTTAATCACATTACGAACAAAGGAGAACCAGGTCATGATTAGCCAATTGTATCTTATTTCCAGGTTTTATGAAGTTCCACTAAGAAAAGATCATAATAATATGTGACCATTTGTTCATGATGACTTGCTATATTAACCGCAACTTTTATCGCTTGAAAGAATTTGTTTTTAAAAATGTTTTGTGGTTTTTAAATGGCAAGTTAATGTCAATGTTCCTCTCTACGATCATGACCCTCGACAATAACTGCTATGTGCGAGGTACCTACTACATAGTTAAGTATAATTTTATTACATCTTTCTATCATCTAGCAACGTATTTTATTAGAATTATATAGCTACATTGTTTATTATTATTATCTTGCTACATAGTTCATTCGATGGCAATGCAGTATAGCGCATGTGGAAAAGCTCTTAGGAGATTGTAGTTGTTTAGCCGATTTTTTCCACGATATGTTTTGTTGTGCAGATTGATTGTATTTTACGTCCGTATTTATAGCAGTTGCACAAAATGTCCATCATTTCCCGAGATTACTTCAAAATTATTGCAAAAGTGGGTTCTACTGCATGATACAAATTTAATATTAGTGTTACGAGCGATAAATAGTTCATGTAACTGGATGAAATTGCGCCAAGCTGCACTGAAGAATGAAATTGCTTGTACATGGATACCCAATGGCTCTGACTCGGGTTGCAACTTCGACATTTTTTATTAAATAGTTATAATGGGCACTAATCTAGATTCTTAAACGATGAATTTTACCGCTGCCGTTACTGACGAATAAAGGCTTTTTATTGCTTTCTATTTTCGTTTCATGTTCCTTACGAGCTATCAATTGCCATCAAATGTATTGAAATTCACGCCATTGCACGATTAGATAGTTTTTTTATGTTCCTTTGTTTTGATTCATTCAGAATTCATCAATGAGGTCGAAATTTCTACCTCGACTAATTTTAAAACAGCCGTGCAGTGAATTTATTCTCAATAAACTTTCATTTTTTAACTAAAACCAATTTTGAAAAATGTCGTTAGGCATAACGACTTTGGCAATAAAATTAGAGATTGAAAACGTGAATCAAATATCTTAGATTAATTATTCTCTCTCTTAACTCATTCTCTCTCTTAACTCATTTATTACTCATTTGAAGAAATTATTCGATTTTAATAGTATTTCATTATTTGATCCAAGTTATACGGTAGTGCATGAAAGTTACAAGTTAAGAAGCGAAATCGTATAGTGCTTGGAAATGTACTGCAAAATTAATGCCAACCTAAAACATTCTTCAATAGGGGCTCAACCTAATATAATAAAATCCAAATTTAAGAGTTTTGATTGGGGAAGTGATGTTAAGTATGCGTAGACGTAAAATAAAGTATAGGTAGAAGCATTATAAATTTCATATAAGTTCACGGAGATCTATATATAGTGATCTGTATTCTCCGCTTGCAAGAAAAGCGTGTTTACAACAACTGCTGTTGAACTATTTTACGCCAACTTTGTTTCAATATCCAACTGTTTAACAACAAGCTCGTCGTGCGGTGACTTTCATTACGCAAGTGACAAGCTATGCAAAAGCACCTACACCAGCTCTAGTCGCAAGCATGCAGCGCCTGCAGTTGTTCAGCATAGTATCACCTGTTATGAACCTTGCTTGAAGTTCCGTCTACTGGTATTCTAGGGTTGTATAGTCATTTGATTGAATTCTTGTCATTGAGATTCTTGGGTTGTTAAAAATCCCTGTAATATTCCGGGAAGATACCATGATGACGGAGATGAGCTTTACAAAGATCTTTCACCCATCGCAGGTTTTTGTAATTTGCCTCCAGTTGTGGATGTTCTGTACTTTGTCCCCTGTTTTTACATTAGGTGAGTACAATAATGGTACCGTATTCGGTATTCGTATATGTTTAGGATAGTGAATTTATAGAAAATGATACCATACATGCCTAGATAACAGTGATGTTAAGGAGTAGTTCTTTCAATACGTTTTCTCTAAACCATAAGCTAGTTGGAATTTTATATCTGGGTTCAAAACAGAACTGGAATAACAACAAATTTCTATCAAATTTTAACTTCAGTCGTTATTTCGTTTAAATTATGGTTCAATCGGCAAAGCTTTTAAACGTCGTCCAAGCTTCTAAACGTCGTCCATTAAATTTTAAACGTCGTCCATTAAACTGATATTAAAGGTTGAATGTCTAAATTGCTTCTTCATACAAGTGAACTGCTTTCCGGTTTTTCAAACATCCTGAATTCATTTTTAACAGTTTCTGAAATGCCTAAAATCTATTGAAAACTTACTTCGAACCAATTAATGTTCAAGGCAGTATCTCTTTTTCAAATAGGTATCAAAGTAATTTTCTTGATCCCGATTAATGAGATATCGCTGTGTTATTCAGCCAACATCTTGAATACAATAAGCAAATCGTCCGAAATCACGCCGGCATGCAAATAAGTCATATTGATAGTAAATGCTGAAATTTTGGAGTTTAGACGAGTTTGTGCACTTTCCATCCTACTATTATAAAAAGACGATCAGGCAAAAAAAAATATTAGATGTTTTTGTGTCTAAAAAAAACTATCCTTCTTGCCTCACAGCCGAATCCTGTCGAAAGCTTCAAGTAGGAAAACGCAAAAAAAAAACATATATAAAATGGTTTTTAGAAATTTCACGGAATGTTGGCTTGAGTCTCAGTTCAATTTCTTCTTTTTCCCAAAGATAACAACGCGACACTGGTTCCCAAAGATAACAACGCGACACTGGTTCCCAAAGATAACAACGCGATATTGGTTCCCAAAGATAACAACGCGACATTGGCCGGTCTACGATTGGCCGGTCTACGATTGGCCGGTCCACGACCGCTTGAGCAGGTCGAGATCCGTAGAGGCCCCGTGGGTGACTCGGCCGCGTGTGGTGCAGTCAACAAATACCTTTTCCTGCGCATTGTTGGTGGCACAGCAACTAAACCACATGAATATCCGTGGCAGGTAAATATATTTGTTCACTAATGCTCCTCCATGACTAGTGATGTGGTTGAAGAATGAATAGCTTGAAATAATAACATGTTATATGTACCTAAAGGAACGTGAAATGTGCGACCTCTAAAAACAGGGTATTTTAGTTTTCTATTACTCAACTGAAAACGTTTATTTATGATATGTAAATAATCTTCATCCAATGTTTAAAAAGATTTTCATTTTATATCGGAAACGTGTCATCACAAGCAATCAAATTAAAAATCTCATACCAATTGAATAATGTTACTATGCATGAAAATTGGCCATAAAAATATAATTTATGATACTAGTTGTATAATGTATAAAATTTTAAAGATATTGGAGACATTGAGAGGTGGACATGTCAGATGGAGCATTATCTGAAATGATAATTTTATGATTACCAACCCAAACAGCATATTTCGGAGCGTTGCCCCAAATTTTATTTCCTCACATTCACTCTTTTAAGTGCGAAAGGTATATTTATGTCCATATTTTTTACTTAGTTTTTATGGATTTCAGTTTAAAAATATGTGCGAATCTAGCCAAATATGTCTCATTTTTGAAGCGCATGCATAAAGAGCATAGAAAGTTATAGCGTTTCTCGAGAATGAACTGCTGCCTGTTTATGTGCCGACACATTCGTTGGAGCTTCCTGCTCAATCAAGTTGGGCTGCGCTTAAATATATCGCATGGCAATATTATAGAGCCCCTTGCTAATGAATATTGTAGAAGCCCTTGCTAATGAATATTGTAGAAGCCCTTGCTAATGAATATTGTAGAAGCCCTTGCTAATGAATATTGGATAAAAGTTTGTTAATGTATATTGTAGAAACCCTTGCTAATGAATAGTGTTGAAAACCTTGCTAATGAATATTGTAGAAACCCGTGTTAATGAATATTAAACTGTAGAAACCCTTGTTAATGAATATTGTATAAACCCTTGCAAATGAATATTGTGGAAACGATTGTCATTAATGCATAACAGGGGAAAGTAAATAAACGACTGCTCTGAGAAGCTTGTCATAATAACGTAGCAATTCTTCATACTGACTGCATAAATGTTGTCTGAGGAGATGAGAAGAGCCAGATCCAATTTTGAAAAATAATAAAAGAAAATCTCTTCCTCTTGATGACAGAAAGAGTGGAATAGTCTTTTCTTACCGCAATTCTAAACAAAAATAATTTTGAATAAAAATACCGGCATTTGCCATTGAATATTCTGGAATCCGAATACAGAGAGTGAAATTTTTTAAGAGTTTAAACTCCAAGATTGGGCATGTCTAATATTGTCAGCTATGACTGTAGGTAGGGTGGCCCAGTGGTTACAGTTCAGAGTACCAGGATTGGAGCAGAGAGGCGCGGGTTCGATCCCAGCTCTGTGCGCCAGTTTCTGGTCAGAATCGGCAAGGAGGCCGGGCGGTTAAGCATAATAATAATAATACAGGGTGCGGCGTGGGAACTTACTCTTTTAAAAAAATCACAAAGTAAAAAGTATTAAAGATAGCGTTTTAATTCTTTCTTTTTTACAAAGAGCTACATTTAAAGTTTCGTTGGGTTTACTTACAAGTTTAATTCTTGAATATCACATCTTGTAGGTGACCTCCATGCTGTTCAATACATTTTGTCAGACGAGATCGGAAGTTTCGCTCCACCTTCTCAAGCATGTCTGGACCAATGTCAGCAATAGCAACGCGAATGTTGTTCTTCAGTTCAGCTAGGGTCCTCGGACGATTGGTGTACACTAAGGATTTCATCCTCTCTCGACCACTGCATGGTCGCAACTGAACTGAGTGGACGAAAAACTTCATAGCCCGCGCACCATATTGCGCATGGCGCCACCTTCCTAGGACTAATGGCCGCCACGTGGCGCGCAATTCAAATAAGTAAGTTCCCGCGCCGCACCCTGTATAATAATAATATAATAATAATAACAATATTATTGTTATTATTAGGTGCTGCTGGAGATCCTGCACGGCCGACCGTCTTCTGCTTTCAACTGCGGCGGAACTCTCATACACCCACGCTGGGTGCTCACTGCTGCTCACTGCGTTCTTGAGTGAGCAGTAGGAAGTAGTGGGATAGGGCTTTAAAACTTAGTAAGAATGATAGTGATATCGAGTATAGCTTTCTTTGTAAGTATTTTATGATTTTTAATATTGAAAACCACTATCAATTGTGATTAGTGAATGTGATGGAGTGATGCAGTAGGTGTGGTGACAATACCCAATATAACTATTTTTCAGTCTGATAACGTTTTTGCGTAGGTGGCAATGGGAGAAGTAGTATGAAAAAGTGAAGAGCTTAACAATTATTGCATACGTCTAGAATATCTTGAAATACGAAGAGACTATAAACCTCTAGAAAAATATCTGATAAAAATATTAGTAACAGACAAGAGAAATTCAGCTGTCTAACTTTTAAATATAAATATACTATACTATAACTATAAATTTTAAATCTAAATATCATGCTATCAAACTTTTATATATAAATATTTTATTTCGACGATTTTATGAGCATTTTTTAGCATTTCTAGCCTTAAAAAAATCTCTATCACTAAGCTACGGCAACACGATGATCATGGCATACCTGGGCTTGCATTTCGCTGCGCTATCAACCGACAACGAGACGACGTACGTCTCCAAACCTGCCGCCGTTCACTGCCAGAAAATCCTCGTCAAGAATGTCGTTATTCATAAAGAATATTCATGGAAGACAAACGTTAGTGATCTGGTTTTCTTAAAGTTTAAATATATTCAAAGGACAAATTCCGTTAAATGACTGTAGATGCACAAGAAAAAATTTGTGGCGTTTTTGGTGAAAGAACTTTCACTGTGGATGAGCACATAATGACTTCGCCTTCTTTTACGCTAAATTAAATAAAGGTGGTTGTGTCGTGCATTTCTTCTTTAACCTTCCTTGTTGAGTCTCATTATTATTATTATTATTATTATTATTATTATTATTATTATTATTATTATTATTATTATTATTATTATTATTTCAATATTACTCAAATTTGCATTTTAGCCTTCCTCATTGAGTCCTAGATATCCCAGAAGTAAATGCTATAGATACCCGTATTGTCATACATAAGATTCTATTAGAAATTTTGAAGTAGATCAGTACAAATTAAGTGGCTCCTGAAAAATTAACGTCAGCCACGATGCTCCAGGAGAACGACATCGCTCTGCTGGAGCTACAGGTGCCAGCGGTGCTGGGGGAAGACGTGCGGGTGATCTGCCTGGCGTCACCCAGGGCGTTGATGCTGGGCAACATGGGCACTGTCACGGGGTACGGCCTCAACGCCCATGGCAGTGAGTACCAACGCTGTTATCTGGTGGGGTACGTGGGCACTGTCACGGGGTACGGTGTCAACGCCCATGGTAGTGAGTACCTGCGCTGTTATCTGGTGGGGTACGCGGGCACTGTCACGGGGTACGGTCTTAACGCCCATGGCAGTGAGTACCTGCGCTGTTATCTGGTGGGGTACGTGGGCACTGTCACGGGGTACGGTCTTAACGCCCATGGCAGTGAGTACCAGCGCTGTTATCTGGTGGGGTACGTGGTAAATTGCATTCAATAAAGTCAAATGTGCAAGAATTTTAAAAGAAAATCGTTTAAAAATCTTAATTTTCATGTATACATGAAACCTTTGTCAGTGATGAATGAGAAAACAACTTTTACATTAATTTGTGAATTTCAATCATATTTACGGTTGTATTTAGGTTCGTAAAATAAATGTTATTAGTATTTTTACTATTCTTGATATTAATGCACTCGTGTTTGACTTCTTAACTATACGAGCTTTTGCGACTTCATTTAAGTTTTAGTGCTGCCAAATCGACTGTCTTAAAGTCGACCGGTTAGAGAGCGACTATTAAATAATTTTAATATTTTCCCAATTTAACAAAACGGTGAACTAGCTACCGAAAAACAATTTACACTTCAGTTATAATTTTGAAACACTAATGGGTGAATAATTTGTAATTAGAACAGCTATCAAAACAACTGCACAATTTCGTAACTCGCTAATAATCTAGTTTCACTATTCAGCAGTTATTAAGTTGGTGATTCCTTACTCAATTTCGTGACCCAATCAAATTTTATTCATTATTTATCAATTAATGACTTGATGATTCTCCCACTCAATTTCGCAAAACCAATCAATTTTTATTCATTATTTATCAGCCGATGACTTGATGATTCTCCCACTCAATTTCGTAACACCCATCAATTTTTATTCATTATTTATCAGTTAATGATATAATTCTGTATGGAACAGCCGGTGAGATGCAAGACACTCTGCGGTCCGTGGAGCTGCTGCTGGTGGACAAAGATCTCTGTCGTCTCCTCTACTCCGGCGTGAGCAACGCGGTGGTCGGAGAGGCCATGTTTTGCGCCTATGCCGACGGCAAAGACGCGTGCCAAGTAATAATATCATTTTTTGATCCATGATTTGTAACTTACTTTATACTGCTGAAGGTCGATCACGTGATATAGTTTCTTGGTTTTATGTAATTAATTCTGTCTTTCAATTGGAATTATTTTAATATAGGCTAGTGGGTGTAGTTCCAATATATTTTTGGGGAGGTATTCGAATGTATTTATTAAACGCTTTTGAAAATTTGGCGGTCTGAAATTGCAGGGCGACAGCGGCGGGCCGTTCGTGCGTGAGTTGAGCCCGGACCGGTTCGTGCAGACCGGCGTGGTGAGCTACGGTCTCGGATGCGCCAGACCGGACACGCCCGGCGTCTATACTAACGTGAGCAGCTACATCGCCTGGCTACGTGACAACACTGCGCGAGCACCGCTCTGTGTCTGCTGAGCGACTGTTCCGTTGTTGGGGTCTATTCAATAAATAAGCAAACAAATTCTGGTTTCCCCAAACTTTTAATACATAACTATAATAAACAAATGACGGATACGAGAATACAAATGAATAAACCGTGTATTTCCTTAGCACTTCTAACTCCGGCCTCAGGTTTCGGAGCCTATCTGAAAATGCACGAATAAACTAATTATGGACACTAACACATCAGAATATAATGCAAACTAGGCAAAAATAAGTATAGTAACAGATTAATACAAGTAATGATATGCATAGTCGCCTATATAAACTACTGGATATATGTAAACATGACTATCACATGAATAACTAGACACAATAACTACACGCACGTACCTCTGTGGTGGGATTCCCATACAATGACGAAATACAAAGCGCATCTAAACGAAGTCACGTCAAAGGTGAATCAAAACGCTAAACGATAAATTTCATGAGTCCTATTACAATCCCTTACACCGTGTCTGCTGAGCGATTTTTCTGCTTCTGTTGAGCGACTGTTCTGCGTCTGATAGAATAGAATAGAAGTGTCGGCACTGAAGAAATAGGCCCATGGCCTGTTGCCGATTCTTGAACTTTTCGTGACTTGATTTACAAGGGATCCGGCCTTTGGAACCCGATCTTTCCATAACTGACGATTGTTTGATGAGCGACTGTTCTACGTCTGCTGAGCGGCTGATCTGTGTCTGCTGAGCGGCTGTTCTACGTCTGCTGAGCGGCTGTTCTACGTCTGCTGAGCGGCTGATCTGTGTCTGCTGAGCGGCTGTTCTGTCTGCTGAGCGACTGTTCTGTGTCTGCTGAGCGGCTGTTCTGTGTCTGCTGAGCGACTGTTCTGTGTCTGCTGAGCGACTGATCTGTGTCTGCTGAGAGACTGATCTGTGTGTGCTGAGCAACTGTTCTGTGTCTGCTGAGCGACTGTTCTGTGTCTGCTGAGTAAAAGCTCATCGACTTCTAAGAGCTCGGTTTATGTTGGACGAAAGCCCTATGTTTTCTGAAGTTGATTGCCTCGTAGATTGTCTATGGATTTGTGGATTAATTTCTATTAATATTGTTCTTTCACTGGTGACTCTGACCTTCAAATGTATTTTCTTAGAATTTTCCTTTTTATTTGAATATGAAAATTTTATATTTAAATAAAATTTAAACCTGATGCCTAAACTTCTTAATACCTCGACAAAAAAGCGTTAAACTTTTCTGGAAGTCATGCTAAACATTGTATGACGTCATCAATAAAATTCTTACGTACACATAAAAACTACTTTACTAAAATATTTTTTGCAGATTATTTTGCTCTTTTTAGCAAGACAACGAACTGAAAAGGTTGATATTCGCCCTGTTTGGAGCACTTTGACACGTGCCAAGTGATTCAATTTCCGAATTAAAAAAACGGTTTCTTAATTTAGTATTTGCTAGCAATTTATTTTAGGAATTAAAACAAAAAGTAATAAAAAGCATTTATGCGCCGGTGCCGGCAGCAGTAAAAACCATCATGTAAATATCTAAGACAAATTTTGTCGAATTAATAAAAATTGAAAGCTGGGACCCAATTAAAGAATGAGCTGTCGGGAATCTATATAGGAGCAATTTCGATCTTGATTGTTACTAAATTTTATTAAGTTACTTAAAGCATTTTGCGCTTATGACATTATTATTGTACCTAGATAAGTGAAACCCCCCTTTGTCTAAATGGGGAAATAACATTGGAAAAAACTGAAAACCGACAAATTATGCGACTGCCACGCATATCGATTCAAAATTCAAAATAAACGCAACTTAAATAATATAAAAGAAATTCATTTTAAAATAATATCAACTAAAACACAACACTTATCTAAAAAGCGTTTCCCGCGTGCATTCCTGCAAAGCCATGGAAAATCTATGTAGCAAATTAGTAATAATAATAAAAAAGAATGCAGTTGGAAAATTCTAATAAACTACGATGCTAGATAATAAAAAACACGGCTAGATAATACAAAACTACTATAAAAACTAGATAAAAAACTTCACGTCTCGCAGTTATTAAAGTGTCATGATTCTAGAGAGAAAAACACGACATTGACACCGCCTTATCGTTTAAAAACCGCATCTCTTTTTTGACTAATTCTATCGAACCGTTTAAATTTAAGAATATTGTACCTATTCATGATACCTATTAGGTATAATGAACAAGAAATTTCATATTATATAAATTCTTGTTTCGTAGTGAAGATACATTGAGCTTAAAAATAAGACAGTTGGTTACTTATATATATTGAGTTGTTTTTTTCTTTGTGATTCAAATTATATAGGTTGATTTATATAGTTGGGAAATTTAAACCAATTCAAGAATACGTTATACATGATTATTGTCCACAAAATTAAGAGCGAAAACTAAATCAATTAAATTTCGTTGTCGTAAGAATGAGGAGGCAATGTCTCCGTGGATTAATTGCAAGGCAATCTGCTATATTTAGTCCCGTATATCGCGTGGATTAGCAATCCAGATGCGGCTTCAGAGCAAAGTTTGACCTTCGTATGAGGTTACTTTTGGTCATTAACTTCAGTTAAAATATTCATTTATAATTGGGTCAGTGTCATTACATTTTATTGCAATGTCATTAGCGACAGACTGTGTAATGATACAAACAGATAACGAATTTTGTTCTCCCTCGATGCGTTCCGAGCCCATTCCTTGCCCACAATCAACTTTGCAATAGTTCAAGCATTGCAAATCTGGCTTTCAAATCCTTCAGTTATAACGAAAAATTTTAATGAGTTGTTGGAACCACGATTTCCTCAGTCACGAGTCGGCCAAGACGAGCAAGCGTTACAGGAACCACTCAGGCTTCCTCCTGACGGCATAGACCGTGTCACCAACTGCGATGTCCCCTGGCTGGTCCAGCGCCATGTGCAGCCCGAAGATGGGTTTGTGCGCCCATTGCTTAGCCAGCTTCTCCGGCATTGGAGGCACTCTGTACCTGGGGCACACAACACCAAATACGTCATGAGCCAGAAAAATGTGAAACACATTCCCTTTTGTCGTTTGTATTCTAGGTGCCGTACGTTTATTTTATGGGTGCTTTCATAAACCAATGGGATGAGCGGATCTCGCACCACGCTATATAATTCAATTACCATTATAAAAGTTATCCAAAATGAAATATCTTATAGATTGTACAAAGAGTTTTCACATTAACATCTACGCAGCAATGAAAATGGTGTAAAAATAATGCACACAGCAGTAAATGTGATACATGTTCAAACTGTTCAGAAAACACTGCATTATCAGTAGCCAGTATAGTACCTCATGTTACTCGAGTAGCTTCAATTTCCCAAAGATGGAAAAACGTAATTGGCACGGAGCCTTACTATGTTTGTGGATAAATAGAAAAATTACCTTGAAATGCAGTGAAAAATAATTTCAACAGGTAATAAATCACATATCTTGACTGCTACTCACTTCCTCATTACGTCCAACACTTCGTTCTGGCGCTTGCCGCTGTCAGGCCTGACGTTGATGCGGATGCACCTGCAACAAATTAGATTTATTAAGCTAGTGCAGGAGTAAAAACTGAGATGCCTACCGTCACCTCACTCTTTCTGGGTCCCGCAAGTGAAGCTTACTGAAATATTGCACAGGTAAATCGAGCAAATCTCGATTCAATTACCGTTGATATTTTTGTACTATGAGCTCCGAAATTCGTAAATAAGTCACGAACAATAATTGTAAATTTGACACATCTTCGAATTCATACAAATCGAGTTTCAAATTTATGGCATTCGTAGCCCACTCAGTTAACCACTGATTGTAAACGACTTAACGACTTACGACCCGCGGGGTTTGAGAATATGCAGGATTGTCGAATTGACTTACGACTCTCGTGGTTTGAGCGTGCGCAGGATTGTTGAATCACCAATTTTAACGTAGGCCCAATTGTCCTCGTCAAAAGCCGGCTGTCCGCTAACTATGATGTTCGATCTAAACTGGTTCATGGTCACTGGGGTCTCCAAACGCGTGTTGAGATCGTCAAGGCTAGACGGTGATGTGACGAGGAAAGCACAAGTGTCGTGATAGAGCCGCTGAAACACAACAGAAATATCAATTCATAAAATGCATAAATGACGAACTCTATAAGCTGCTATAAGTCAACGCATGTACAATAACTCATGATGCGAAAGGTAAATAAATGATTGCGTTCCCAATCGTGAGCATCACTGATCCTAATCCATTCTAGGCCACGTAAAACCATAATGAAATGGAAATGAAAGTTATGCGTTCAGGAAGAGAAGAGAATGTGCTCGGGCATTCAATTAAAGGTAAAATGCACACAAAATACATATTACTACACACTGAAATACATTTCCCTACAGTTCATACACTTTACATGTAGAAACATGTACAAATAAAATACCTTTCGCTCGCGGAAAGCACAAATCAAAATTCACTTAATTTTTAGCGCATTTTCTCATTTATGGAAAAAAGGCGCTATTGTGCTCGTCATGTCCGTCTGTCTGTCTGTCCGTCTGTCCGTGACTTCACATTTTCGTCGCCGAGAAAATACGCTCTCTGTCACTCATGCAGTGAGTACTGAGTTATATTTATTTATATCGTTTTCCAGACACAAACTTTCAAGATTATCCTATTCTGTTTACAAATTGATTTCCCAGCTTGATCTTACCAGATCTGTGTTTTTGAATTGGGTGAAGGGGTAAACGTTCGGTGCTCTGGCAACGTTCTTGAAAGTCTCCGGGTCGCCGACGAAGATGAGTCTCTGAACAGTTTTGTGGAGATCGAAAGAATTGGTTGCCTTGGTGACGGGAGAGGAAAGCACCACCGAGCTCTCTGTGATGGCAGCGCTGATGGTGGCCAACATGGGCACCATACCCGAGTTCATGTGCACCATCTTTTCCGGCGTCACCAACACCACCACGAATGCTCTGTTGATAAAACCAGAGTATATATAAACATGATATATTAATGGCTTGCATCCCAATGGATTTTATTACTTTTCACTCGACTGCATGATTGATCGCAAAAATCAATCTCGCCGAAGCTACGGACTCGCATACATGGATGGATGATGGAGAATACCAAATTTCAGACACCAATTTATCCGTTTTTTTTCGAGCATGAGCAATTCACTAATGACAGTTGTTGCAACTTTCAAAAATTTTAGGAAATTTTATTTCATAAAAGTATTCAAGAATTGGCGAGATACTGATGAAGTAACGCATGAAACGCATCCCGCATTATTATACATTCATTGAATCATTTCATGAAGAACGTCAAGCCCATCATAGTTTTTTGTTATGGAAAATATTGTTTCTCAAAATGTTATGCAAAGACAAGGTTTTGATCGATTTTGACGTTAATAGTGCTTTATGTATATTTACATCAAACGAATGATCAAAATTTTGATTGGATATAATAGTAATAATAATAATAATTATAATAACAATAATTACAATAATAATAATAATAAAAACGGTTTCAGCGTTTCAGCATTTAGTAGGCCGTAGGCCTGTCGTCAATTCCTAACATTGCAGAACATTCACAGCATTTTGCGGTCTCGAACTCGTAACTCACTGCTACAATTCTGCTGTGCTTAGCCGCCCGGCCTCCTTGCCGATTCTGACCAGAAACTGGCGCACAGAGCTGGGATCGATCCCGCGCCTTTCTGCTCCAATCTTGGTACTCTGAACTGAAACCACTGAGCCACTCTGAATTTAAAGTCCAAAAAGGCTCAAACTGATACTACTAAATATCAAATAATTTAATAACAAAGAAAATGCCAAGTGTTTCATTTGATTCGGTGTTGGTAAAATACTTCAACCGGGCTTCTTGAAGCTTACAATGAGGAAGCAGATCGTGCTCGTCTTAATAAGACAGAACCGCAGCAGAATCTTCTTAATAAGAAGAATAAAAACAAAATAGCTAATGAAAAAGTGTACTAAAACGATCACATGAGTTTTCACTGTACATGGTATGGCGCCATATTTTCCTATATATCTACTTTAGGTCTTTATTGGTTGTGCACAACCATTGCTGAGTTATTGTTGTGTTTATGGTGCTTGCGTTTTTCACCTCCGTACAAACACTTTTGGCGGGACCGTCAAACTTGTTGTCAGTTACACCGTATCGAGTTATCAGTTAAATACTAAACCATTACCAGGGTGGCCCAGTGGTTACAGTTCAGAGTGCCACGATTGGCGCAGAGAGGCGCGGGTTCGATCCCAGCTCTGTGCGCCTGTTTCTGGTCAGAATCGGCGAGGAGGCCGGGCGGTTAAGCACAGCAGAATTGTAGCAGTGTGTTCAAAACCGCAAAATGCTGTGAATGTTCTGCGATGTTAAGAATCGGCGACAGGTCTACGGCCTAATAAAAGCTGAAACCGCTATTAATTAAAAAAATCAATTACTTGACCAGCACCGCAGAGTCTTATTAAACTTCGGGAACGGTCTACTTTGATTGCCGGGTTATGTTTAAATCTTTGACTCTGCTTTAACTGTTCAGCTTAACCTCTAATGCCCTGGGCCCATACTTTCAAAAAAAGTTAAGAGATCGAAAGTTCATCAGCCAATCATTGACGGCCTTTCAGGCAAAATCCACCAATCATAGACAAGAAAATAGAGCGTAAGTACTTACGTTCACTTAGCGAATTTTTAAAGTATGGCCCAAGGTATTCAAGCATGTTGTGAAATTTTAAACCCTTGCGACGTTTAAACTTTATTATTTGACGTGAGTTATACCGGGAGTTATAACTCTCGCGGTCTTCAATCACATCTAATGTGGCTGCATATAAACTATCGTATGGAAATCTTCCTATTGTCATATAACAGCATGTGTATAAGCACCTCGTGCGTTTACTTTGATTAATAAGGCGAGCTTTACTTTGGAATTCACGCAATATTGAAACTGAAATATTCACAGCAATGTTCTAGTGTCACCGTGGTTTTAATTTTACGCACTTAGTTACTCAGAATGTATTCCTCGAAACTTCAAGTCTCGGCCCCATTAAGCTGACCTCGACACTCTTTTTAGCGCATTTTCTCATTTATGGAAAAAATGCACTATTGTGCTCGCCATGTTCGTCTGTCTGTCCGTCTGTCCGTCCGTCCGTGACCTCAAGTTTTCGTCGACGAGAAAATGCGCTCTCTGTCACTCACTGCAGTGAGTTCTGAGTTATATTTTTTCTAATTTTGGATTGCCAAGATAGAAAGAAGCGCCTCCTGTACAGCAGAAGAATCAAATTAAATCTGTTGGAACTATTTTCATTGCCGTCACTGGCTTCAATCTTTTTTAAATCATCGTGAAATAATTTTTAAACGAGGATAGCTCTCTGCGTATATAGGGAGAAATTCCGTACCAGATGCATTATAAGTTCAAACTCCCTGATGATGAAATAGCCTCCAAAATGTAGGATATGTTAAAATATGTTGAATAGAACAGGAATTTACTCTGAGCTTAAATCATTGGTTAATTTGTCATATAAGCAATTCAAAATACTATTACTATATAACAGATAATTGGTTTTCATGCGAAACCGAAATTATACCATAACTACACCAATTTAGATATAGATTAAATAATCGCCTTGTATTTCCATTAATATAAAAGAAATAAAAGCAACCTGTCCGTGAGAGGTCCGCACTGTAGGCCGAATTTGGTGGCCGTGGCTTTGTGCACGCTTGTACCGTGGCCGGACTTGATGGGAAAAATTACGAGGTCTTCTACACGGCCAACCTCCACCCACCTGTTGCAGGTAGAAAAATGAATAAATTATTTATTATGAGATCTTCTACGCGGCCAACCTCCACCCACCTGTTGCAAGTAGAAAAATTAATAAATTATTTATTATGAGATCTTCTACGCGGCCAACCTCCACCCACCTGTTGCAGGTAGAAAAATTAATAAATTATTTAATATGAGTTCTTCTACGCGGCCAACCTCCACCCGCCTGTTGCAAGTAGAAAAATTAATAAATTATTTATTATGAGATCTTCTACGCGGCCAATCTCCACCCACCTGTTGCAGATGGAAAAATTAATAATTTATTTATCTTCTACGCGGCCAATGTTAAATATTGATGCATATTACACTAGTAATATGTAAGGCTTTCATTTCCGTTATATGCTGATTAATATAAAATTTCATTTGAAATAGCCCATAATTTAAAAATAATTTCTATGCACAAAATGTGATGGATATTTGAGACAACCATTTTAAAAATATGTCGACTCCTACTATGAAGCAGAACTATTTCCAACTTACGTTTCATTGATACATTGAAATATATTATTTAATAACGTAAAATTATGTATCTCTGACTTGATGGCAGCATGTTAGCAAAGTGATGAAGACTTTCATGCAAATTATTACGTAAATATTGAACATTGTCATGTTTTTTTTCTAGACAGCCTGCTGGGTACACACTTATTATATTATTGGTCACACCAAGGGCCTAAGTCGATGAAAATTCACAACGATTTATACTAAATATGTTCTACATTAAAAAAAATATATTTTGTTATGTTATGAAGTGTGAATGTGACGTACAACATCTCCTCCTCTCTCCTGTGACGTAAGTAGCTCGCGAGCAGCGCAGACGCTGCAGTCACCCCCAGCCCCGCCAGGCAATACATGCGCGTTGAGCTCAACATCGCTGGGAAGCTGGGGCAGGAAACTCTGCAGGAATCTGGATGTTAATCTAGAAACTTAATTTTATACAAATTATGAATTCAACAGTTGATGCGAGTGATTTTTTTATTCATAAAGAGAGAATGATTCAATAATGAAACGTCAAGGCATGCGAGCTCGTCATGTCACGAGTCTAGTCACCATCGCTCAGGGTCAAATGGAAGAGCCCCGATTGTAATAACTAATGTCACATTTTATATCAGTTCTGATAATTTCTCTTGTAAAGTGCACTCAGTGCCACAGGTTATCACAGCAGCTTATACATCAAAATTAAGATTTTAATTACTAACAAATCGAGACCTACACGTCGCACGACTATTGCTTGGATTTATTTAAATCCATGCTACATCCAAAACCTTCATCACCTTTATAAATTCGATTCGAACACACTTGGCATCTCTGTTAACGAGCGGCACGTACAAATGAGGGCGAGACGATATTTTACTACACGGTATCCCTACTTTTGTATCACTTGTTATACACTTGAACCAGTCATCAAATTGATCATGAGAACGAGAACTAACGTTGTCGTCGGATTTAATTCTGCTTCTCACAAGAGTATCATTCACAGACTAAAAAGCATATTTCGGTACCGCGTGCTCAATGCGATCGTCAGCAGATAAGAGATACAATACGAAGCCAATCAGGACATCCCTCGTGATAAGCAGGATTAACAATAATCTACTTCACTTGATTCTTTATCGATTAAAGCCATTTTACCATGTCATTGAAGACTGGCTCAGTCGTGTTGCTCACGTGATTGCGCACTCTGCTGCGTGACCGCGATTACGCATCTGCAGTTACGAAATGTTCGAGCGCTTTTGTTAGTTTAAACCGGGTTGAAATTCAATTTGTACTAACTAATATTTAAAGTCTCATTTGTACAAAATAGCTTATTTACTTGGTTATTTCTCCATAAATGACAAGCTAACTGCAAAGAGCACTTTCATGCAAAAAGATGACATGCCGCAATAGTTCATATTACTGATGATAATTCTTACGCATATACTTATAATAAGCGTAAAGTTTACTTCAAACTAAGTGTTCACGACAATTCAGTGTTTTTTCGCTATACGCGATGAAAAATTCATAAGTGTCTTAGCTGATTTCATGCCTCGTTATAAATCACTGCATCAGACTTACCGTTATAAAGCACTGCGTCAGACTTACCGTTATAAAGCACTGCGTCAGACTTGCCGTTATAAAGCACTACATCAGACTTGCCGTTATAAAGCACTGCGTCTGACTTGCCGTTATAAAGCACTGCATCAGACTTGCCGTTATAAAGCACTGCGTCAGACTTGCCGTTATAAAGCACTGCATCAGACTTGCCGTTATAGAGCACTGCGTCAGACTTGCCGTTATATAGCACTCTATCGTACAATGAACAAACGTTAAATTTTCCCGTCCACTCCGATCTTTGGGGTAACATTGTTAGAATATAGTATGCTTCTCATTTCTTACTATTGAAGTTACTATTCAATTTGTTATTAATGACGGCGTCAATTTAATATTGACATTGTCATAGCTTATTGATCTTCAACTAACTTCTAGATATAATTAAAACAAAATTAAACACGACATACTTCGCATTATACTAAATAATTTCAGATTGCTGCATAATTAATTCTCAGTTAACTATTTAATCTTAAAATAACTCGTTAATATTTTTAGGAACTGATACGCTAAATTCCTGATAATAAATATCTTGGACAGGAAGCCAATTCTGGATTAATTAACTACACTCATATATTCACCGCCGATTAGTTGCTAAGGCCTAAACTGTTAAGAAGTGAAAGGTCGCGTTGCTTGTCCAAAGTCGCCTTCAAAACCATGCAGCTTCTCACTCAATTGCAGCTTCAAATTTAATTTCAATTTCATTTCGTAATTTCAAAACCATGCAGCTTCTCATTCATCAATTAACTACACTCATATATTCACCCATGATTAGTTGTTTTGAGGCCTATACTGTTAAGAAGTGAAAGGTCACGTTGGTCGTATAAAGACGCCTTCAAAACCACGCAGCTTTCACCGGAAACCAGTGAGAACAGGATTTCGCGACACGGCCTGCACAAAATTTTCGTTTCTAAGACACTTAATCCAGCTCCCACTTAATTTTAATCGCACTGCACACCACACCCCATCATTATTCTGCATTAACTGTAAACTGATGAAGCATATATTTAATTAAACAAGCACCTTAAGTAACTTTCTGCCTTGTGATGTTGCGTCAAGACCTGCAAGCTCTGGACTGCAGCTAAACAATGGACTCGTGGAAATCTTAACTGCGGTTCTCGTCGTCATGCAGCGCAGCTCCCACCGCCGCTTGGCTATTCGTAGGGGCGACCTATTGCATCGGCGATCCAGTCAGACCGGTACCATAATTTTTTTCATACATTCTATTGCTTATATGGGATGACTGCATTTGTGGGCTGTGTAAAAGATCTTGTTGAAATTCAAGAGAATGTTTCGGGCTTTGATGTAAACGTCGTTCTTCAATTTTACGCATCGAAAAAATTAAATCATTTTTTTAGCTTATTGTGAAAAATTATCGTTATGAATTGCAACATGAATGCCATCAGAACAGCAATGCGAAATATTACAATATACCAGTACATCAAAATATATTTGAGCATCAATTGCGGCGAAAACATCTCCTGTAGTTTTTACGAGTGTTTTGTATCCTACTTATGTCGTTATTCCATCAAATAATTGTACATATCTTCAAGCAGAGCTAAACAAAAGACTGGCGCCCGCATGTCGTCATGAACCTGGGCAACATAAAAAATATTTAGCCGCTGCAGCATTGTAGAAGGAATATGGCCTGTTACTATGAGTATATATACCTACGAATTGCAGCCATCACTGTTCAGTGATTCTACGCTCGAACTAAAGCAATATCTCCATTAATACCTTCAAGGAACTTTATCGTGAGAACTCAGTTCTTGCTATACAAGGAATCTTCTAAGAATTTATTTCCCTAGCGCTTCTATGCCGCAGTAACCGGACGTGTCTCTGAGCATTGGAGTGCTGGACGCAGCCTGATTGACAATTGGCTTAAACGAGGACCTACCTGACTGCTAATTTTCAGTATGTTTTTGAGAATTAAAATAATTTTTTCACTCTTTTATCTTATATATACGATGTATTTTTCATAGTTTTAATGAAAATTTAACGCATATGGAAAAAAATCAGAGTTTTCCTGTCAGGGAAATTGATCAGAGACTACGATTTATGCGTAATTTATGAGTATAATCAGACTGGCTATAAATAATATTAATTTTCTGAGTACATTATGTTTCCCGTATCGATGCTTACCCTACATTTTTATAAAGACATTACAAATTTTAAACCTTTTCTTTTTTTAAGTTTTCACCGTTTCGAAAAATTCAATAATATTGCGCCAACCAGGACACTGATTTGGCTTAATGGCTCTATGGTATTGCTGAAAACAAGTTAACAATTGTTTACGTCCCTATTAAGAACTTATTTTTCGCTTAATGGGTTGGTTTTGTAAAAAAAAATCAGCTATAAAGAGAATAAATTTCGAATGCAAATAAGTAATTAATTCATCACGATGAATTGCAGATGTCATACAATTTGTCATACGCACTGAACATAAAGTACGGCCTTGGTAAGATTTCGAGAACACTTTACGAGCTTCTGTGAAGCAGACTGAGCTGTTAGGCTTTAGATTTATTGCCAGGTACTAAGGCGCAGTTCTTAAATCTTGTTATTCAATTAGTTTGTATAGATATGTATTTGTAATACTATCATTTATCTATAAGTTTTGCAATCCGATTCTAAACCGATTATATTAATTTGCGTTATTTAGTTACACCTGTAGTGCAGAGTGGTCACTTTATTTTCTTTCTTCATCCTCACGTCTTGCACTAATTGAGTCAGGTATGCTTCTAAATGAAAGTAATCAACAAGCGCTTTAATCAAAATACAAACAATATTCTTACACCTACTCCGTAAATTGCTATTGGAATGACCCCCTGATAACTGTCAAGTTTTCAAGGCCACCTTCCGCAGAAAAATTAACTCGCACTGTTGCAAGAAACAGTAAAGTCGATCTCAGATGCGAATAATGTTTTCCATTAAATGATTTACAGCTTAAAATTCTCAGAATCATTCGTTTTGATTTTTTTATTTCATTTCGTTCGAGTATTGATCACGACCATATGAGATCGCGACTGCATTAAATTGAGTGTATTAATGCCAAAATAATAAGCACAAATTTCATTGACTTCAAACGTATTCTTTTCCAGGCAGTACACTCTTTTGTATCGGCAATAAACTCTCTACATATAACAATGTCACCAGCTCTACTCTGATTATAATTATATCGACGAAATCTTGCAGCATCATGGCCATCCGAGTACGCAGGTAGGCTAATGTAAGAAAATCTTTCCTGCAAATAAATTAAGATCTGGGTATGAAGAACAACGATAAATCATTGAGACTTTATTTGCACTCGTAATCAGTTATTATCGAATTATGTTGGGTTGATATCGGCAGAACAATTTCTTCACAATAACTGTGACAAATTTAGAATCATGATAATTCGAGATTTATGAATGTATGGGATTTTTTGTGAGGATTGAGTATTAGTTTTGTCCACGATTGCAATAATGTTAGCATAACTTGACTAGGCAGTAGTAGGTGCATGACTCTAGCAGTTGTACATAGCCTTCAACTTGTTAAGATCGATCGTACTGAGACCATCGCGCTGACCAATCACGCTCTGGTAGGCGGGATCCTGTCATGACAAAAGTAATCAGCATGAATATCATTATTCTACTGAATACTTCGTTGTACAGCCTATATAGATCATCATTTATCAATTTTCATTGATATCCTATTATTTATTATTTATTTACTCAGATGTTATTAATACTTTCTATCCTACATTTATTTATAACAATTTTTGTTCACATAAAAATAAAAATACTTCTCGAAAATTTCATACTGAAATTCCAAGGTACGCAAGCAATGTCGTGAGAATCGTTGTACTAATTTTGTTCAACTCGTTGAACGAATACCTCGCTCGGTATATTTATCTATACCTCGAAGTGAATCAAATTTCAAGAAAGCTTCTCAATGCATCATTCAAACAACGCATTCTTTTATAATGAATTTACACAAAGCCGATGATAATATCTACACACCAAAAATTTGAATTGTTTTCGTTATTAAATGAGTATATCTTCATTGTATAAATTTACCCGAACGTAAATAAAATTTCTTAGTTTTTATCCCAATTGGTGTCAGTGGTTCTCAATGACACTGCCAAAATCATGGCATTACAACGATAGTAAACTTCCGCCTTTGTCAAATATTCTGCTTAAAATTCGTTCACGAGCAGTATAATAAAAATTTACGTAGAGTTTTGACAATTATTATAGTTTTAAGATTGAATACTAAAAGCAAAGAATTATTCTAAACTAACCGTGGTGATGATGGTCCTAAGTCCATTGGATGAGAAAGCGAATTGGCTGTAGTGCATGACGCTCTCATAGTCGTAGCCGTAACCAAAATCTGTGATCACCGTGTCTGGGTACTTGTCGAAGTTGTGCTCAGCTCCTGTGCGAGACGAAATAGAAGACTTGTCATTCTCTTGGTGGCAATGTTAACGTAAATGTCTTTGAGGCTATGTTAGAGGTAAATATCTTGGAGGCAATGTTAGAGGTAAATGTCTTTGAGGCAATGTTAGAGGTAAAAATCTTGGAGGCAATGTTAGAGGTAAATTTCTTGGAGGCAATGTTAAAGGTAAATGTCTTTGAGGCAATGTTAGAGGTAAATGTCTAGGAGGCAATTTTAAAGGTAAAGGCTATTACAGACCAGCCTGAATGTTGTCCCATTGGATGGTAACGTAGTCGTCTCTGTTCGAGGCGGACTGTTCGTGGTAGAAGCCAAGAGTGTGGAGCATTTCGTGCATGGTAGAACCATAGGAGTCAGTGCACCAGGTTGGGTAGTTGATTTCTTGCATTCCTCCCAAGCGACCGACGTAGCTCCAGCAGCCCTCTTCCTGACTGAATGTTTACAAATCTTCATAAGAAACGCATTTAAGCCTGGAAAAGAATACAAGCTACTATCTTCCATCCGATTTTAATATTCCTCGTTTTGGTGAAATCTAGATCAGCGTTACGCTGTAGGACCTATAACATCATTAAAGGCCTGATCACGTTGATAAGATGCATATTAAAAACATATGTTTAAAATCCTTCGTTTCAACGAAATAATGCATGGAAGTAAGGAATGATAATCACTGATTTACCTAAATTTACCGTCAGTGTTTGTTCCAAATCTTTAGAATAATTTCCCTACGAAAAACTCATTCAGATTCGCATGAGACTTGAGAATTGAGATTAATTTAAGCGGTGAGTTGTAAACAATAAATGCTAATTGAAGTTGAATAAATAATTAAATAATAAATTTTATGAGCAACTCACTAGACGATGCGGACATAATCGGCCTCTCCGTTCCTGTCTACGAACTGAATGCAGCCGTTGGTGAGAGTATTGTAGTCGCTCATGGCCTTGCGGATGGCAACTTCTTGGGCAGCGGCTGTTGAAATACGACATTATACGCTCAAAAATTGGAAGCGATGATGATGTATACATTCGGAAAATTTCAGGACGATTTCAAATGTAACTTATAATAAAAATGAGAATGATTACAGGAATCGTTAATAACATAAGGAAATCACAAAACTTTTCGAAACAACGACATAGTTAATTAAAGTATAAATAATTTATTGCGAAGTAGAAGTAAATAAATTATCAGAAGTCTGCGATCCAAAACACAATTTCTGTCGATACCACGTGTGATAAATTGAAAATTTAAAAACAAATTTTCCTGCAAATGAAAAAAAAACATCCAGAATATCAATCAAGGCTTCATTTTATAATGCAAATTAATCTACACCTTCTGACAAGTTTAGGACGGTTTCGTCCACGGTCACGCTGATGGGCCACACAATTCATGGTTCAGTAAAACTCTCATAAAAAACATCATCGGCACTAAAACATGTAATCCAAATAGCAATCATGACAAAACCTTCCGAAAACACACAAATTTCAGTAAGGTAAGTGGAAAACAATTCCGCACGTACAGACGGAAGCGGCGATTACGAAAGGCACGCGGCCGTTGGGCCAGCGGTAGCTTTCATCGATGAGGCCGTTCTTGGTCATGGGGCGCGTGGGGCCTTTGATGTCGAAGTACCTTTCGTCTGGGTTGTCCTTACGGACCGCCACTGCATGCAATCGAGTAACAATTAAATTTATGCACAAATGTATTCATACTTTTTAGATACACGTTATATTTCATGTAAGGTGGATGAATAAAAGGGTGAATAACCCATTAATTAATTTACTACAGTATTCAATCATAGTTAGATTTTTATCATTACAATCATCATTAATCCCACACGATATGAAGAACTATAATCATTAGTCAGTAGTAGAATGCTCCTCCAAAGATATAGTTTATGAGATAATTTGCATAGTGTAGACGCTCCTCTTAATGATTTTAATGTGCAAATGACTAGGTACTAGATAATGATGTTTTTATACCAGGAAGATATATGCTATATTAGTTAATTAAGTGTATGGAGGTAGTTTCGTGTTCTACGTACGAGGAGTGGCGAAAGCCGCAGCCAACAGACAAGCCAAGACTATTAGGAGCTTCATTATTGTTGAACTTCGACGCAACAGTGATTAAAACCGATCAAACCTTTACTTATATATCTTCTGAGCGCTTTGTTTACGTTAAATGCCAGATGCGAGAGTGAGAAAATTTACAACTGCTAATCTATTCGCGTATAATTATGAATCATGATTTCCTCTACGTTAGCGAGCCTTTTAATTCCCACGGGCTGTAGTTTTTCTCGGTCTGGATGGCGCCAATGACATTCATATTCTGCTGAATTTTGCTCGTATAATACGACAACCTTGGCACCTGAAAGGGAAAGCAAAGGTGCTCTAAGAATCTTATTTTTGGTTTTAGCAAAATTTTTGAAACTGCAGCTCAAACTTTATACTATCTACAGTTTCATTTTACGCTATCTTAATTACTAGCATGACCATGCGTTTCTTGCATCCACGAAAAAAAAATTGAAGGTAAATCGCCGGAAAATTCAACTCGTAACTTCATTTTCACGCAGTCGGATTCTTTTCTGGTGTGCTATCTTTTTCGTTGTGAAAAGCACGCAATAATTCATTTATTATTTTAAATGGTTTTTTGAGATCTTAATTATTATTAATAAATCACTCAGAACCCCAAGATAAATTGTCACATCCTTTTGTTGTATATTATTTTAAGCTTATCGTTTGTTATTGATTACGAAGTCCTTGAAATTTATACGTATGTTGGAACGATTTTCTGGTCTAGCAAGATTCTCATAACTTGTTCCATAAATGTTCCGTTCATACAAGTATGTACATGTGGAGTGTTCCCACGGCACTAAAACGAACAACACCAACCTATTGATGTTTGTAGAATCAATATTGATCAAATTTAACTAACAAATTGATGGCTTTGGTATGGGTCATCTCCCTGATCTTACCTTAGCAATATTATCATGTAATTTCATTAGGTTTCTTAATTAGTTGGCCGATTATTCCATTGGTTTGAAGCAAATTCTTGTTAGAACAGATATTGTTGATGCAATTCTTTTTTTAAGCGTCCATCTCATTCAGGCCTGCTTTTCGATTATCTCTACTTTAAACATACATTATATTTAAACATACATTTATTTGAAAACGTTTCTGACTCCGAAACGTTTTTAATATCGATATGGTGAATTTGCTTGGCGTTTTCTTTGCTTTTAAATTCCTATTACGAATGATTTCAAACTCAGGTTGCTTATATTGAAAGTCGGACCACACTATTTTTCCGCAATGTACAACAGTTAAAATAACATTCAATTCAAAACTAAATTAGCAAAAGCTATAGAAGCTCGTTCCAAGTCGGTAAATGTTGATTGTTAGCGATACAAGGAGTCTGAAAAAGTAAATACATTTCGTTGTTTTACAATCGAAAAACAACAACTATTGTAAGTACCCATCTCCAAAGTAAATTTTATAATGTATGTTTAAAGTAGACAGTTTTGCTCGATGCGTATTAGCGTTTGTCGGAGGGTCGTTATATATCAGCTTATACGTATATCAGCTTAGCTGAACACCGCAGCAGGAGATTTCGTTCTGGACTGCCGCCAGCTCACCCATCTCATTCGCATGTGAGCCTTCTCGCTGAACGGTGCAAAGTGACTGTGTCGGAGAGCAATTTTAAGATTCTTATTTCCACTTGAGGTCCCTCAGATTCAAAGATTTTTGCAATCCAGCGTAAATCTTGCCTTAACAACGCTTACAGTTTTTTTTTCCACCTGAAATTATCAACATATGGGTTTTCATGTTCCTTTGTTTTTTATTTGTACCTATTTGAGTTTTAATCCCTTTCGTTTAAATTGGTTTTTATATTAAATTTACTTGTATTTTTTTTCAAAGTCTAAACTCCTGATAGATCTGGTCTCAGAAAAGTTCTTGATGAAGATATAATGAATATACTGGGCTTATGCTTTAATTCTTGGCTAACTTGCGATATAAGCTTAGTAATGATATAATATAAAATTCATATTTTCGTCTCAAAAGCCTCTCGAAGACAACTTTAAAGAATAACTTGCATCCTATTTGACTAAGCATTTAAGCTCGTTCTCCAATACTCTTTAAATGATTAATACTCGTATTATTATGTACGGCAAGCGATAGCGATGTTTACTGCAAATGTTATCGCAGGAATACACAAGTTGACAGCTGTCAATGTTCTCAGTGCATTGCTGCCGACACTTGTATGAACTTAATTGTTCTCGTAGCATAATCGACATTCTTAATCATGCTAGAGCTCGGCTGCTGACCGAGTCCATATCACCTGGGTCTTTAATCACTGGAGAGGAGACGGGAGGGTTAGGTCATTCTACACCAATACCCATGAAAAATTATGACTAGACCATCCGCGAGCTTTGTAAACGAGCCCATCATGAGTACGACATATAACGTTGAGAGAAGGGAAAAACGCATGATAACCACATTACAAAACAGAGATGCTGATTCCATCTATGCAGGAATTATCCCTTTGCGTGGCGGTGTCGAGGCTATTTAAGGTTTTATCGATGTATCTGAGAGATTAAACTTACTCTGGATAAAACAGGAATGGTCGGATGCGATCCTAAGCTCGGCCATTCATAACCCCTGATCCTTCGCTTCTGCCGCACTTCTATTGGCGATAAGCAAGCATACCAACATCGATCGTACATCAGCTGGCCCAACTGACGGCGATTGCGCAGTTAATTACATTCCACTACGCCACGGTGCACGGGGGTTCTTTTGGCCAAAGGAAACTCAGGAAAGTGAAGTGAAAAATATGGCCACCTGAAAACCACCCGTTGCTTTAATCTGAGAAAGTGGATATATCAGAAATACACGAGCTTACGAGTACAAAAATCCGATCTGAAAACATAACCAGGATCTCACGCAGAATATCCTTAGTGCCAAATATCCCGCTCTGAAATTTGGAAGCTCTTTGGAGTGGTCCAAAAGAATTGCAGAATCCTACGATTTTCAGTTGAATATATTACAAAACATCCCGCGGAAATTTGGAGAAAAACTGTCACTAACAATGTTCATCATCTATCTTGCGTATAAAGTGGCAAAGGAAAACCTATTTCATCAGAGCTCTAGCTCTCAGAGTTCAGAGCTCTATTTACGAACTTCTGACATCAATAATATTAAATGTTATCAAATGATAAAAATTTAGAATTTTACATGTGCGTATATTATTTTTAAAATTTTCGTAATTAAAAATTGCAAATTTATTAAAGAAAATAGTAATTTATTTCCTATATTTTTGCGTGTCATTCTACATGTGCACTTGTAACTTTAGAGGCGAAGGCGGGAATCCCGCATCTGATGCCCTCGAGTTCGATATTATCATTACAAAACAAACAAGTTTCTGTTCGACCAACATCTGGCTTTGTTCATGCATCACTTATGAAGGGTAAAACTGATAGGGAAAAACCGAGTTTCCAATACTGAAGATTGGACTTATTGATGCAGATAGTGAGTCGGGACTTTAGAAAAGGTTCGATTTCAGCCACCGAACTCGTGTCATGGTTATTTGGGATGATTCTCTTACGAGCCAAAAAACTTGGGTTTCAACGCATTGTGGTATAATGTCGTCGGCACTCAATGTTGTCGAGATACTCATGGTAATACGAAAAGTAAATCAAAGAAAAATGAAACTGCAATCTTAGATCGGGCATAATCTGAGAAAAACTGCTCAAGTATGGTTAGTTAAAAAAATATATTAGCGTAACGTAAGAGAAGACGACTTTTCTAGTGTATGTATGATGAACAGACAAGTACTCAGGACCAACAAGCAGCAAGTTCAATCGTAGTTCTCAAGTGGCTCGGCTTATAGTCAAGTTCGTGAAAAGAATTTAAATCTGTGACGGCTCTTCAGCAGCTTCCACAGAGGCTCTTAGAACACTGGAACTAATAAATAAAATTAAAAAATTTCCATAATTTCATTCCAATCCATATACAGCATAACACCAGTATTATTCATTATGTTTACCACACATATGAAACGGTACAAAAATATACGTCTGGCAGAATTATAACTCGCCCAACACACACGGATCAACGTCACATTAAGTATAAAGTATGAAGGCACGCACAACGTAACTAGATATGCAATAAAATAAATACAGGTAAAAAGAGTTAAAAATGTGTAAAAAAAAACTATGACCGAACATTCGAGTCACTGAGGATTACCAAATTCCTCAACAAATTCAAGATGCCCTCACGTAATAACAACTCAATTCAACCTAATTAAAGTATACATTTTACGCTGAAATAACCACATAACAACCAAAAACTAACGCAGAAATCAACAAAAAATAGGACGCTACAAAACTTTAATTTTTTCAGATTTCAGATATCTACCGCTTACTGAGCGTATATTGATATAGTTACTCAAAACAGTTAGTGAGCGTATATTCATAAAGTAACCCCCATTGTTAGCCGCAGAAGTTAGGTTCAAATTATAAGGAGCTGTACCCCAAGTATAATCCATGGTAATTGTTACAATAGAATTTTTTCAAACACAGACATTAGTTCCCCATAGAATCGGGGCTGCTAAGATTAAAATGGCTCGCAAGACCCACGAAACGGGCTAAAGTTTGTCTCAAAAGTTAAATTTTGTATCTTTAACGGCGTAAGCCCACAGCTCGTAGTAAATCTTGTATGTTATTTTGCAGCAATTTCACCACGGGTTTAACTCGGTAATCTGAAAGGAAACTGAATAAATTTATGCTGATTTCACCATTCATTGAACATGATGTTGCGATGACGTTTGACCAGACTGTAGCAGATGCGGTTTCTTCGAAGTTTTCCAATGCAGCTCAAAATTGGTTTTGATCTCACGGAGTTTGTGTGAGTCAAGCACCTGAGGAGGTTGTTCCAGATTGACCAATTCCACTCCATTGCAAGTTATGGAGAGACCACCCTTCGAGACCTCAACGCGGTCAGCTTCCACATCGAACAGCGAGAGTTCAGCAGCCAACTTGCTACTCATTCCTTCAGAGGAAGACGATAATTTCAATAAACCGTACAAGTAGCCGCCACCGCCGGCACCTGACAAAGATGCACCGCTTACGTGAGGAGAGAGCGCGCTGAAAAGCTTCGATATCCTTGGAGGCTCCGATCCTGCAGCGACAGTCTTTTTAAGCTGCCAATATCGGGTGACACAAGACGCTAAGCCGTCAATATTTTGGTCCGTGAGACACGACGCAGCGGTCAGTGCACACTCAATCAAATCACTAAACGTTGCAAGCATGGAGTCGTTGCCTGTGTACCAAGACCTGACCACGTTCTGCAAGATGTTCTTAGCAAGACGCACCTGCCCCGTGTAGAGGAGCAACAACCGGGAGTTTAGAGCGCCAAGCAAATCATTCGACAATGGAACAGAAAACGCGTCCACTTGCACAGGCAGTTTGCCATTACTCAAGCCCAGCTTAGCACCACCATACAAACCACCGACTTGATCTTGCCATCCTCCGCCTGTGGTCATCCGTTGTTCTAGGCCAAGAGTGGAGTGCATGAGGGTGGGACCGTCAACAGCCTTGCCCTTTAGGACAGCTAAAACTGCAAGAAGTGCCCCGCCAATAAGACTGCTGCCTCCCAGCCCTGAGCCTGAGGGCAATCGAGACACGATTTGCAGTTCGAGCCATCCGCCGAACTTGCCAAGTTGTTCATCCAAAGACTCGCTACAGTTAAGGTCCACGATGCCACTGTGTATGAGAGCAGTCTTGACGAGTGCACCAGCGCTCAGAGGGTTGTGATAGTCAGCCAAGTCATGCAGTTGCGACCAGTGGAGACTCAGAGTTTGAACACCGGCGTCGTATTTGTCGTTGCCACTCTGAAGTAAACAAGACACACCAAGGAGCTCGTTGCCATGGCCTGCACGGCAGCATTCGCCGCAAGCGTCCCGGGCGTTCCATCGGCCACGGACGGTGATAGGTTTCTTGCCATTCACCTGAGACAAAATAAAAACTCATTCCCAAAAGTGGAAGAGGCAAGAAATACGAAAATGAGAGCAAAAAATCACTTTGTATTCTCTGCCACAGGTACCATTTACCAAGAATGCGCATAACAACTAATTTTTTCGATCGAACTCATTAGCTTCACAATTTTCAAGTAACCAGATTTTTACCCGACTATCAACAAAATTAATGCAATAAAAACCAAGCACAGCGCTAGTCACACGACCCACCAAGATAGCAACGTTGAGCACTGCACCACCAAGCTCATAACAAACAGGCGGAGTGTCGGTCCAGCCGCCTGCCAGGTCCAGGCGAGCTGGACAGGTGCCCTCTACCCACACGCCTGCTGCCACCGGTGCCAGGCATACAGACGGGGTGGGGTGGCTGCGTACGCTCTCAAGGATCTGAGAAGAGGATACGCAGTGAAGTAAATCAAACAAAGAGAGACAAAATTCTGAACAGGTTGTTGCTAATTAAGTTCTTTCTTTGTACGCGAGTCCAGAAGCGATTGTTTTACTTAGTATAAACAGTTGCGGCTGATTTAGCACGTCGTTCTTGCACGTTGTTGCACGTCGACTACGATTGCTTCATCTTGTACTATTATTTCATTTTTTGTTGTTTTTAAACAGGGTTGCCAGACGGTCATTTTTTCCGGACTAATTCCGTGATTTAGTTTTTCTCAATTGCGCTGGCCGGCTGAAATTTATGATAGGGGTGCTTCCTAATAAAATTTTAAATACCTACTGCAAAAAGAAAATGAATGGAATTTTTATAGCGGAACCTACAAATAAACTAGTATATATTGAGTTATCGGCCTTTTTTGTTCTCGGATTTGGCCGATTTTAGGCAACCTGAATTCTGTACCACTACGTCCTGGAGAAATACATTTCGTGGTACGCATATGTACCACTTCGGAGTCAACGTGTTAAGAGGACAGAGATTGCAAGACGTTTCTTTGATCAGCAATGGCTCACTTTAGTAGTCAAGACGATAACATAGAGCGAGACTTAAATGACTTATGTGAGGCAAGACAAGACTTATATGTCGTCAGATGCTTTCCTCACAGTCGGCAATCATGTATTTATTCCAAGTGCAAGGGATATATCCCTTCAACTATTTAAATTCATGCCGATGACTTTCACAATAGGTACCAAAAAATGTCCACTGCGCTGCGATTACGATTAGGAATATTACACTAGTAGTAGTTCCAATGCCCTCTGGACCAATAATCTCAATGCCAGCATGATTACAAGTAGCGGCTAATATTTCGTCAGCGATAGGTGGGTTTAGCTTGATAAGCCGTAAGTGATTTTGGCTAGTACCATCAAAAATAGTCCAATCACGGATGGCATTTCGAGGTAAACCCAAGAAATTGGCTTCTACGTACGTGTACGTAGACGGCTACGTGTACTTAAACGAGTTTTAATAGTAATAGTTAAATTGTAACCCTGTCTGCCAATCACGGATGGCTTCTCGAGCTAAACCCAAGAAATCGGCTTATACGTGTACGCAGGCCGCTAAGTGTACTTAAACGAGTTTAAATAGTACAGCGGCATGTCGATACCTGCCGGGCGATGAGCATCTCAACGGCTCTCTGGTAGTGGCGGGCGGCCCTGGTGAGGTCCGCGGCAGAGGCGAAGTATGGCGCCGTGGCGGGCTGACAGAGCTGTGCACTCGCGCCCTCCAGCGCCTGCACACCCGTAACCAGCGAACCTTCCTGGTCATGAGAAGTTGGCCAAGAATTGGACTCAAAGAGTTGAAAAATATGAACCAGAATTGAGACGTTGATATTGTGAACAAGCGCATTTGGTGGACATAAATAGTGTATATTTGCGTGTTCTGCCGGAGTCCTTTAAGGGGAGCGTCTGGGTCCAAAATCGACAATTTTGGCTTTTCCGGTTTTTAGTCTCACCTTAAAGCTGACATTCTGCCCTATCCAACGGTACCACTGCCATCTCTCTACGTTGATTTATGATTTCACGACATTTCATGAAAGAGGGGCGGGTGGGGGAGTTCTCTAAGTAATTAGATAGGAACTAATTAGCTGCTGAGCTCTTTAAATATAGTGTCTACTTGAGTTGTGCTGCAGTTACGTGTTTAGTCTCATCTACACGAACAAAAAAGTCTTAGATTTTTGTTTTACATATGTGTACCAAGTTTCAAAGAAATCCGTCCGTAAATGAAAAAGTTAGTTTTTGACCCAGACGCTCCCCTTAAGCGAGATTCTCTGTTCAGGCGGAAAGAGACCTCAATAGTGAAAGAACTTATGCGCTCAGGTCAGGTGGGCGTCATAAAGGTGTAAGAATTCAAGCGGTAACAGAAAGAATCAACGTTAAACTACGAAAATTTAAAAATTCTGGTTATCAAAATTTTCGACATTTGCAGACATGTTGAAAATAATATCAGTACGATTGAGACGATAATATGAACATGTATGTGTATTTAATTTACGTCCTTCTAGTTCTAGTCCTACAACGTCACTACTCCGATGCCAGTTATACCTGCAAGTGCTGAAAAGCCTCGTTGAAAATAGCATTGGCGGCAGGCCCGGTCCTGATGTTTCCTTGCCAGCCTGCCAGTGCTGCCAGAACGTCAGCCACCACAGCCAGCAGACGAGTAGCACTTCTGCCCGAGTTCCAGCACCACCCTGTAGCACTCACAGGTCCTGTCACAATTAAACAGCGTCAACTTATAGCGGATGCAGAGAGAAACAAGGTAGTGAAATATTTATTTCAGTATTGTCATGAATATTTTTCATATCTGAACCCATTAACAGCAATAAAGTACAATAAGAAATTCGAATCAAATTGTAATTGAAAAATATCAAACGTTCTACTGACCTGCAGATTTGCAGTTAACTATAAGCGTGTGAAGGGACCTGAAAACTTCTTGCAGAGACTCTCGGTCGGCATAAGCCAGATACTTGATTTCTCGGCCAACATCAATGGACCCAACATAAGGCATCATGGCCTCGACGTGCGAAAGAATATACCTCTTGATCTCAGCGTGTCTCAGTTTAAGAAATTCCATCGGACAACACAGCATCGCAGCCTCAGCAATGGAATAACAGTCGTCGTCAATAGAGAGGCTCGCGTCGTGCCACATAAAAGAAGTCAGCCGCGTGATTTGTTCACAAACATCAACACATGGGCTGAAAAATCGTGCATTCAAAGGAGTCTTGGGAACATCTTGACGCCAGAGACGATGAGCCAAGCCGTCAACACCGCGCTCAAGACGCGACCAGGGCATATTGAACATGCCACCGCTCGGGTACTCTGCATGTAGATCGTCCGTAACGCCGAAACAAACAACAATGGAGTTGAAAGTTGCGTTATTTGCATCATTTCTGAGACTACATTGCTGCCATAACAGGTCATTTCCAAGTTTAATAACTCCAGGACGAGCTAAAGTCAGTCCTAACGCCGCACTTCCTTCACCAATTTCAACAGAAACCCCTTGACTCTTGAAGGAATCCACAACGCATATTGGTCTGCCGGAACACACATCACCGGCAAAGCTGTGCTTGTCCCAAATGTTTGAGTTGATAGAACGCACTTGAGAAGTAGCAAGGCTTTTATCCACACATGATGCAAAGAACGGTTCACACGAGAGTGTTCTAACCGACGGCCAATGCAAGAAGTGGAATGATTCCAACAGATGAGTTTTAAGCCGCATGCCTGCGAACATTTTTTCGGCGCATTCTCTGAAAAGTGAAAAACGAGCAAGTCTGAAATTAACTTTATAGATATGCAGGTACAAACAGCTATGCAGGTACTCGTTTATTGGCGACGGAAGTAATTCATACCCGTTTTTGCAATTGATTTACCTGGCAAGAGAACGCATGTCGGTGCCGTGCACGCTGAAATGCTGTGTGGAATATTTTTCAGCGCTGCACCGCGCGGTCTCTCTGCAGTGGCTGCCTCCTGCTCCACAGCACAGCGCCGCTATCAACTCAAAATACAGAGACACCTGCAAAACAGAGACATTTTAAGCCGCTCCTCATACACCAGATATAATGAAGAAATCTTTTGAGATAAGGTAAGCTTAAACTAAACCCGTCGTATCTAGAGACAGCATAATCATAATAGAAGCTGTCATGATGAAATAGAATGTAGCACTAAAGACTATATTCCTGCACAATAATTCACTTGTTCAGAGTGTATATAATTTCAACATTCCAAAAAGTAGTTCTATTTTAGGATATTCAACTGAATAAATAGTTGAGTAATAAAAATTAATTTGATTTACTCAGATGAAGGGACGAAATATATACAGTCACGATTGAGATCAATTATTGACTATTTAATTAGAAAACAAATACTTTGTTGGGAATATTTGTTACAGCTAACGTAGTATAATCAGTGTAGCAGAGGAGGCGTGAGAGAGCTTGGAGAAATCGGATACCGTATGTAATAGAAAATATTCACAGCATGGACCAAATGGATCAATGTCTTTGGTCAAATGGATGAAATTTATGAATATAAATGAAATGAATTTTGATATAAATAAAGGTAAAATGTAAATGCAGCTTACTTAACAAGCCTTTGCTGAAACACATTAATGTGAGGCTGCGTACTAAGTAAGGCTGGGGCACTGCGTACTGAGAATGGCTGGGGCACTAAGTAACGCTGGGTCACTGCATACTGAAAATGGCTGGGGCGCTGCATACTGAGAAAGTCTGGGGCACTGGGTACAGTAAACGGTTGGGGTGCTGCGTACTAAGTAAAGCTGGAATGCTGCATGTTGAGAAAGGCTGGGGCACTGCGTACTGAGAACGGTTGGAGTCCAGAGTCAGTGGCATGGTAAGTGCAGTGGGTGAAGGGATGGCGTGTGTGCAGGGACAGCAGACGAGAACACACGGCAGGAGGAAGGTATAGTTGTCCACTGATCACTGGCACTCGGCCCTCCACTGACATCTCCTCTAGCCCAAGAATGAAACTCAAAATTAAAAATTGTATAGCTAATTTAACTATCGAATTTACTTGGGAAAATGAAAAATTTTATGCAAAAATAATCCCAATCCACATAAAAAATACTATTTAATTCCAAAAAATATTAATAAAGCATTTACACACACGATCCAGGCACAGAGTTTCCATAGAACTAACACAATCGATATTACTTGAACAAACGATGTAAACTTGGTAGACTGGGGTAGCTAAGCTAGTAGACATTCATTATGAAAATGCGTGGTCCTGATATCAAATATCAGTAATTTAATTATCGTAGCAGCAACTCATACGCATTCTTGCACTAGTTAGACATAATTCTTCGCTAGTTAGACAAGTTGGTGAAGTTACATTTGAGGCTAATTTATATCTTTAATTGCAACTGCTGCAAGCTTTATTCATAGGTAATCTTTTCATCGTAGGAAGACCATTCAAAATGTCAAGATTACATTCACTGTAACGCAAACACCAATAAATGTTCCTAATATTTTTATTTATTATCTTTGGATATCTACATGATGCCTCTAGCTTCTATATTCTCTAGCTATTACTGGAAAAGCCGGCTATCATCATGAGTAAGTAACATATAATAGATGCAAGAAAAAATGCTTAGGAAGCGTTCAGAAGGGGGAGACAACTCACTGCAGGTCTGTAATGATGGCTGGTAAATCAGTTGCTGCACCAGACCATGAGAGTCTGTGAGCACAACGCCGTGCTGCACTGCCTCTAGTATCGCCAAGGGCACGGTGAACAGCACAGCATCAGCACCCTCCTCCACACCAGGCTGCTTGAACAATAAGGACTTGGTTCATTGTTGTCAAATATGTGCTACTGAAATGTCATTCATTGAATACTATGGAATAAATTACGTGTGTGACAGTAGACTTGGATAGATCAAAAGTGAATTAGGTGGATCAAAACTAAGATACAATTTGAGAAAAGACTACATTCAAAATGATCAGTTTTTAATTTCATCCATTACAAATATTTGTTTAATAAGTATTTCTTTCCCAGGAGAGCAGATTGAATAAACACAAGTAAGCAGCATAGCATAAGAAAGTAGCTAATTTCATATCCCGGACTGCTTTCAAATTGTAACAGTTGAACCCAACTAAGAATCAGTTATACCTCCGGGAGCACGTGGGGCAACATCAGGATGCTATCTACTGATGAGATCCAGAGTCCTCTGTTGCAGCGTTTTGCCAACTGAAAGGGAGAATGTTGAACAGAATAATTTGACTTGAATGTACAAGATAAGGAATCTAAGGCAAAATGTAAACCTTCATTATATTTACACTCAAAATTTTTGATATTTTGATTCTCAAGTCACAATAATTCATCCATAAGTTGTATCTTTATCAACACTCTTTGGTGTCACACCAATTAATTGGCTCAACTATATTAATTTATAACCTCATCCTCTGGATATATCAGAGGCAATAAATTCTACTAAAAAACTGTAATAAAAAGCATCCTATAGAAGCTGACTATGTGACACAAAAGTTGTCATATATTGTCCATGTTTGTACATGAGTAGCTGTCCACATTGAAGCCAGAAGAGGTGACGCTGGCCAAGGTAACCGTTGCCGTACATGAGCTGGAACGGCCGAGTCCATGCCTGTAATATTTATCTCAATGTCAATGAGGAATTTCTCTTAAAACCCAACCATAAAAACCAATTTTTTCCAAAAGAATTTACTTAAAAATATTTGATACTGATCATCGTCTGTTTGGGCCTTCACTTTTAAATAACTTTACTCATTTTGACAGGTGGTTAACGTCAAAAATTATAATAATTGAATCAATAAATACTGTAACATTGAAGTGGTCAAGATCATTTAATTATCTAATGAGCTGGAGAGCTTTATTACCTTATGAGCTAGTCTAGGAAAAAACAGCAGCTTACAGCTGGCCAATTCTTAGTAATATTATAAAAGAAAATGCACTACAATAGGTACTAGCTCACTATAAGCAAATTCCTGGCGAGGCCCTTTCAAGAGAGGTGCGAGATGTGCAGGATTGAGCAGCCATTGCTTGCTAGGTGGCCGACCAGCATGCACAACCAACACACGTGACTCCTCAAGAATGCTGTTTTCTATCTGCAAATGGGAATTTGCTATATGAACCCAATGATAACAGTTCATTGGCTTCTAATTTAACTAACTTAAGTTAATAAAGTTATGTCAAGTTAAGTTAACCCATCTTCCACAATGTGACATAGTATTACACATACATCAATTGGCAATTCAGTACCTATAATCTCTTCCACACATTGTGAAAGAGCCTTCAAAATTGTTTTGTAATTTCTGGTCAACAAGGTGATTAGCTCAGTTCCGCATGACAATAGTGATACAGGATCCCTACACAACTCAAATAATTATATTCTTATTTCTTAAATTGAATTACAAGGGTTGTTTCACCCAGTTGCAAAGTATTAAGGGGATATTGATGGTACCTAGTTTGATTATTTTTCATGTAATAAATACACATTGGCAAAAAAAAATGGCTGATACCTACTTCTGCATACCTACTGTGTTAATTCTTAATAAATTTATGTCCATAATGGATTTTCTAAGTACAAATGTAATGAAAGTATTGACATAAAAATCTTGACTTTTGCACAATGCATCTAATATCCTACATATAAGTTTTTGCAGGCAATAAAGCCAGTGTGAATAATCTTACCATAGAGTAATCTTTCTTTGCAGATAAAGTTTCAGCTGCAATAAGAACAGCATTTATGGTAGCTCCTCCACTGCCCACCCCCACTTCCCCCTGTGGTGCACGAGGATCAGCCACAACCAATAGTTCATCGTGTGCAGGGAGAAAATTGCCAGCATGCAGCACATCACACTCTGTAGGGAAAAGGCCAACTGTGAGAAACAAACACTGAAACACTAGAAAAATTTCATCATGTTTGTTAGTACAGATAAGAAGGAATACTCAAATGCATTTGAGACAAACAAATTTTAAAATTAAAAGAAATTTTAAACAGATACTAGAAAAGGAATAGTACCTAGTAGGCTAGTAATGTAGAATAGTTAATAATAAAATTGAAATATGGCAGCCAGTCAAAATGAGTTAAATACATTAGCAAATAAGATAACATGGTCAGCAACCTAGACTTGACTAACTTTAGTTGAGAAATTAAATTTTTATTGTAGATTAAAATAACTTCTGCAATAACTTAAATTTCTTTGTCTCTAGCCTCCCGAGTTATGACAAGGAAAGGGGATTAATTGTTGACTTTTCAATCAATTTGCCTCTCTTACAAATATCTTTTCCACCTTAATTATTTACCAATACCAACAATTTTCTACCCAAATGACAAACCTTTGAAAAATGATACAAAGGCAACTGTTTGAAAAAAAAAGTTCTCATTGCAGGCTGCAGAGCCACCATATTCTGAATATAACAAACCTTTTTGTAGAGCTTGACAGGTAGTTTTGTTGCCTGTTGTAACAATTATTAAATTCCAGTTCAGTTCAGCTGACATGCTTCTACAAAATCTAATAGAATAAGATTGAACTCTGAAATTTTTCAAACTGTTAACAGCACTCAAAGATTATTTTACAAAGGAAGTAGCTAGCACATAATTGGCAATACTAATACTAGGTGTCATGTAGGTGAACTACCTATGCTACATTACGTACTAGTTAGTTAGTTAGTTAGTAACAGCTAACACCTTACAAAGTACAAACTATGTGTTCCTGCTATATGTATTTCATTTTATTATTCATTTTATAGTTTTATAAATTTTTTATTTGGTATTTCTATTACAAATCACAATCATTGAATTAATATATAGCTAAAAACTTACAAAGCATTTATTCAGGATTTGCTGTTATTAAAATTTACTACTTCACTTACATGTATGTTTGGCAGTTTGGATATAGGTATATATATATATTTAATATACCTATATATAATTTATTTAAATATACCGTAAAATGGGGTTACTTTGACCGGCGGGGTAACTTTGACCACTTTTCGTTTTTTTAACAAAAACCCCCAAAACTCAAAAACGATTCGACATAGAAAAATTTTGTCAATGTCCATCAAAGGCCTAATACTGAGGCTACGTAACACAATAGAAAGATTTTAAAAGTTTGCATATTTAATAGGTTAAAAAATTAAAAATGTGACCCATGAAAAAGAGCTATTATTTAAAGCCTGTCGGAGTACCCCCTCCAATTTTTTTATTTTTTGGTAAAATAACTCGAGGTTTTGATGCATTGTAGTAGAACTCTTCTAGTAACATATGCAAAAGACAAATTTTAGAAAAGTGTCATAGTTTGCAAATGGGGGGTGCCGCTCCCCAATGGGGTAACTTTGACCACCTAATGGCAGCCGTGACGGGGACTCATAGTGGCAAAGCAGAGAGTTTTTTAGACTCTCCCTCAAGTTCATTTGTGAGTCCTATAAGTAGACCAGTAAAGTATCCTGGATACCAGCAGTATCATACATAAGGAATTGATTTAAATCTTGGGTGAATGAGGGAATTAAAAATGAACTGATTCTAAAAAATCTCTGGTTTGTCACTATGGACGGGGTAACATTGACCGGCTTGAAAATTAAGTTAAAATTACCATAGGTACCTATATAACATATTTTATGTTTGATACACCTATTAATGTTTTTTTCTTTATGTTTCAGACTCTACAGAGTCTTATATATGGTAATTTTAACTTAATTTCCAAACCGGTCAATGTTACCCTGTCACGGCTGCCATTAGATGGTCACATTTTGCCCATTGGCCATTTGGGGGCGGCACCCCCCATTTGCAAACTATGACACTTTCCTAAAATTTGTCTTTTGCATATGTAACTAGAAGAGTTCTACTACAATCAGTACAATGCATTACAACCTGGAGTTATTTTACCAAAAAATAAAATTGATTTTAGTGATTTACCACCCGGTCAAAGAAACCCCAAAAGCTGGGGTAACAAAGACCATCACTTTTTTTGAAATTACATCAAAACTATGAGAGGCAGGAGCCAGCAATTTATGGGGAGTAAAGCTAGAGTATAGACGGTGAATAGACCTGTATACTATTTTGCACGTTTCAATTCAAATATAACTTATCTAGTAAAAAAATGGCATTATTTTGAAAAAAATAAGTGGTCAAAGACTCAAAGTTACCCCATTTTACGGTACTGTAGTACTAGATCAGAACTTGCACTCTGACTCTTACAGATTACAAAACATAGGCCTACTAAAAAGAAACAAGTAAAATGAGCTTACTTCCACAACATTACAACAACATAATAACAAAAAAAAATTATTATTGTCTTCTCAGTTTCTAATTTGTTGCTGTAATCATGTAATGTTGTTGCAGTGTTACTATTAACCTTTTATCACCACTCACCCACCAGAGGCAGAGCCCCATAGTCTCATAGACCAAATCACAGTCACAGACAGACTTACAGTACAGTGCCCTGTACGGTTACTACGGTTAACGGTAGGCTTGGTAGCAGTCAGCGCTGCCAAGTGCCGCCCAAATCCCAATGCACGATACCATTAAGTATTGACCATTACTTTTGGCGACCTCCTCCAGCTGCCCAGCATCGTAATTCGTACCCCACCATACGGTTAGTCCAACGTCCCCACCCCAGCCAGTGAGTCCAGTCCCAGGCCGACGTCACGATGTGCATGCATGCTACGGAAATGACTATATAGTACAGGCTACTGAGTGAACGTTGAGTACTGTCAATTTGTCAAAGTGTAAATGACAATTTGACAAACACCTCTTCGCAGATACTGCAGTCAGGCAGTGAGAGTGACTAGTGAGTAACTGCTCAGCCACAGCCCACAGTGATAGTGGCACCACAGTGACACTGTGCCACTAGCAGCAACAACCTACAAGCTCACTTGTCCGCACAACCGCCCGCTAATCTTGCCGCTAATCAGTAAAACTGTATAGTATAATGGTACATGTTGGGCAGATGTATAAACTGAATGATTTGTAGGTTTCCATGATCACATGATGTTTATGAAGCTATTTTGACCACTGCCTGCACAATTTTACATTATTGTTATTATTAATATTCTACGAAGCAGTTATCATGGCTTGGCTTGTGGTTCAAATGAACTTCCGACACACACATTACACATAAGTTTATTAGCAAGCGAAAAATGAATAGACACGAGAAAGGATGAAATCGGATAAAATGACTAAGCACTTGAGGTCTTAATGAATACGCGTACCAAGTTTCATCGAGCTACCTTTATTAGTTTGGGAGATATTCCTTGGTCAGTGAATTTGGAGATTGGCCGTGAGACCGGCCGCTAGTCCGGCCATAAATTTGTCCGACACCTGTATTCGTAGGTTCTACTGAATAGTTCGTCCTTTAGGCATCGACGAACACCTGCAACAAAGGATTTAATGTTGCGGAAGCCACAGTCTGTTCCAGGTTCTGGCGGCGGCGACAGTGAACGCTCTGAGGCCGACGCTAGATCGAGGCAAACGACAAGGTCCGCTGTTAACGACGAACACAGTCGTCTTCTAGATGGCATATCTGACACGCACTGCAGATATTCTGCGAGATAAGGAGGCCCCAGACCAAGAAGACATCGGAATGTCGGAACAGCAACCTTGAACTGTGTGCGCTGTTAGAATAGAATAAAAGTGTCGGTATTGAAGAAATAGGCCCATGGCCTGTTGCCGATTCCTGAACTTTTCGTGACTTGATTCACAAGGGATCCGGCCTTTAAGACCCGATCTTTCCATAACTGAAGATTGATTGAGATAGCTGCTGGACTTATTGCCTGGTCCGTAATTTGCTGGGCATTTTAAGACTGAACATACTGTATGCTCTTGCATAGCTTCGTCTAGTCTGTTTTTGAAGATGTTCATACTCGGAGAGTCAACGATGCTATCAGGGAGGCTGTTCCACATGTCGGTGACTCGAAGCGAGATGAAATGTTGTCGTTGTATGCTTCAATGAGGTCCCCACGCAGACGTAGATAACTGAGGCTTGGAAGCTTCATAATCTTTAATCTTTCCTCATAGGACTTGCCTTTCAACCCCGGAACTATCCTTGTTGCGCGTCTTTGAACACTCTCTACTAAATTGTTGTCCTTTTCAAATTTCGGTGACCACACGACGTTTCCAAACTCTAGGTTCGGGCGCACAACAGCAACAAACAACTGTTTCATCGCTTCTGCATCTAGGAACTCGAAAGAGCGTCTGATCAGTCTAAGTCGTTTATTGGCTTTATTAACTTGACCCTCAATATGCTTAGAAAATTTTAACTCATTGTCGATATTAACTCCTAAATCCTTTTCCATTGTCGACTTCGACATCATCACTTTGTCGTTGCAACCGTGTCTTCTCATACTGTAATCTTGCTGTTCATTATTCTTGCCAAGGTGGAGGATAACTTTACATTTGTCAGCGTTAAAACGCAGCTGCCACTCATCAGCCTAGTCAATCAGCCTTTCAAGATCACCTTGCAACTGTACTTTTTGTGACGTATTCTTCACTGTATTATAAATTTTTGTGTCGTCAGCATACATCGAGCAAGCGCTCGACACAGCTTCTGGCAGATAGTTTATAAACGTAACGAATAGAATAGGCTCGAGAACGCTTCCTTGTGGCACGCCGCTGCGCACTGAAGCCCAGTCTGATTCGGACCCATTAATACTGACACGTTGTCGCCTCTCTACTAGAAAATCTCTGATCCATTTGAGTACATTACTCTCAATTCCCAAAGACTTCAATTTACGCAACAGCCGCTCATGTGGGACACTGTCAAATGTCTTGGCAAAATCGAGGTACACTGCATCTACTGGCTACCTTTCGTCCAACAGGCGGGTCCATTCGTTCAGAGTATACAAGAGGTTAGTGGTGCAGGATTTCCCGGCAATAAAGCCATGTTGACAGTCTGATAGGAGATTATTAGCAGTTAAATGATCTATCAATCGATCCCTCACAACAGATTCCATTACCTTGCAAACGACATTTGTCAAACTGACAGGGCGATAGTTGCCCGGGCAGCTTTTGGCACCTTTTTTGAACAATGGTGTCACTTGAGCTTCTTTCCAGTCAGCCGGCAACATTCCTTCGTCCAAAGTTTTTCGAAAAAGTGACTTCAGAGGGCCGGCTAGGACAGTTGCTAACTCTTTGAGTAATCTGGGGTGGAAGCCGTCTGGTCTACGTGACTTGTTTGAATTTACAGCGATAAGGTGCTTTAGAACCTCTTCTTCTTGTATTTCAAAACTTGTTAATTTAGAGCCGACTGGGCGCTCCTCAATAGCTGGAATACTGTTCAAGTCCTCTTCAGGGAATACGCTACTGAAAAAATTATACGCCTGCTACTTGCATGCGCAGTCAGTGAAGATTGTGCAATATAGTTGTCACGTGGTCGATTTTCGCTTATTGCACACGAGTCGGGTAGCAGCGTTCATAACTAATTGTAGTTCATTTAGTGCCGTGGTTGGAAGTCCAGGGTGTTGCAATACCATAGTCTAACCTGGTCAGAACGAGCGCCACCATGAGTTGGAGTGGCGTACGCTCTATAAGATTTCTCATGGCACCCCTGAGGCCGACGCACACAGGATCCTGGATCCGTCGTTTCCTCAAAACTATACAAGTCTTTTCATCCTCTTCTTCTCTTAACAGCAACTAAAGTAACATTTTTTTGACTGTATTTTTACGAAAATAAACGTATTTGTTTGACTGCCCTCCCACATCCGCGACTCTTGCCTGAAAAGGTTTTCTAGCCACCAACAAAAATCTCCTGCTAGAATGTTCCTCGCGATCGGTTGATTTCTTCATATTTTATATGAAGAAATATATCCATCGTATTTTTTCCTCACTGTTAATTTCTTCATTTATACTCAAGCAATTCCCGGGAAGGTTGCCATCCCGATTCAACAAGTTAGGCAAGTATTGGACCCAAATCACTGCACCAGAATCTTGCGCTTTGATAACCAATTCTAGATAGTCAGGCGTCTCGGTTGCTCTGAGCGAAAACTATATAAATGGGAGCAACGGTATAACATAACATAACATAGTGATGTCGGCGCTGAAGTGTAGGCCTGATGTGGCCTGTCGCCGATTCTTTTCCTTTTCGTGCCTTGTTCATAGATCTAAACTCGTGTCATATGACCGGATCTTTTCATGACTGGCGATAGTTTGAAGTAGCTACTAGACTTCCACCGGGTTCGATAAGGAGCTAGGCTGAGCTCTGGCATACAGGTTATAATCAGACTCGCTGCGAGTTCGTAAATAACGCTTGTAGGCTTCTTTCTTGGTCTTTAGCTGAGTCTTAACTGCACTGGTCATCCACTGGGATTTTTTGACTCCTCCAAGCGTAATCTTGAGTACATAGGCATCAACTGCAGACATAACCATGTCTTTGAGAAACGACCATGAATCAGCCACATTCATGTCCTTAATACAGTCCGACATATTCGCCGCATTCACTGTTTCACAGAGTTTATCATAGTCGCCTTTCGCAAAGTTCAAACGTTCACGCTTCCGAAGCGTCTTTTCTGCATAACACTTAATATTGGGAAACAGTGATTGGTGGTGGCTTTTGCCCAACGGAGCCTCGTGGCGAAGCTCATCTATCATTGATTCTTCACTTGTAAACACAAGATCTAGAATATTAGGGGTCTGTTTACCCCTAAAATGGGTTGGCTTGGTGATGTTCTGGATTAAAAATGAGTCTCGTACAGACACCAAGAACAGGGATGCTGGGTGATTCTCATCTCTTGGAGAAGATTCATCTGCCCAGTCTATTTCTGGATGGTTAAAGTCACCAACGATCAACGTATGCGACCTGCTGAATGACATGCTCGGTAAAATACTATGAACATAAGAATGAGAACATAGGAATGTATGAACATAGGAATGCTGGCACTCGTGGTTGAACTAATACCAGGTCCAGGTTGACCCACGCACAGCTGCGTCTTGCGGATGTCGTGATGTCACCTGGGTCGTTTTGACGTCACTTTGTGTAATCCCCGTGTGATTCAAATTGATTTTCAACACCTGTTTTGCTTAAAATAAGACTAGTTGCAAGAAATACATTTGTTTGGGCCATTTTAATCAGGTCAATTTTTTCATGGTTGCACTAATACAAGGGTTTCCCTAGTGCAGCTGCGCCTTGCGGATGACATTTGTTATTCCAACTGTGACGTCACCTTGGTTATTGTGACGTCACCTTGGCTCTTGTGACGTCACCTCGTGACGTCAAACTGATTGGTAACACCGTGTTTGCTTGAAATATAACTAGTTGCATGCACTAAATAAATTTTCTTGGGCCATTTTGAAGAGGTCAATTTTTTAGATGCCTCCAAAGATGAAATAAAAACAATGTGTTGATGTACACTGTTTACATTTCGTGCCCACAGTGGCGTCACTCTACAGATGCGCAGAACGGCGAAAAATCGTCATCGCCATGGATCAACCTTATATTAGTTCAACCATGACTGGCAATGACTAGGCACAACCGGCACATTCTGCAATTACCATTAGAAAAAAGGACAAAGAGCTACAGAATAATAAAGTAATCAGGCAGCAGATCGGAAATGCAAAATTACTTGCTAAGGTATTAAAGAGGACTTTTGATCTTTTCGACTGAGTTATTGTAGATGTCTTCTATCCGAATAATGTTATTGTATGCCTCACGAGCAGCTTTAACACGTGGACAGTTGTGTATTTTGCCGTCATACTGCGCATATCGCTTTTCCGTGGAGAATTCGTCCAGTTAATTGGATGGCAGTGAGTTTTCAGAAAGAGCTTATGACTTCAATGAATGTATACTTCAACATCAAGTAAGCATTTGCTCACACCATCCACGTTAATATTCTTACGTATTTTATTGATTGCTCCAACAGTTTCCTGCTAGATTGCCCTTCCCGTGTTAATTAAATTGGTGCACGTTATATTGATTGCTTCCTTATTATAAGCCAAATTTAAGGTACCGTCATCTTCTGCGTTGGCACACAGAATGTATCATACTTTAAAGACAATCGGTTTTTCCCGATATTCCCTGGAGTTGGACCATTCAATACCAATTCAGCAAAATTGTTTCTTGAAGTATGTCATTGACGGATGGAAGAGAAATTCGAAGCTCAGCCGGACAGACAACGGACAGACGGACATGGCGAGCACAATAGTGCATTTTTTTTTCATAAATGAGAAAATGCGCTAAAAAGAGGGCCGCAATGAAGTCAATTCATTCCTCAAAATTTTATTGGATACAATAATCAAATGTAAATCAGTATGAATGCAGAGAGCATCCAGTAATCATCATCAATCTTATTGGTGATGCTGCGGTTGTCGTATGGTTCGTCAAATTTTCGACTTCCTTTCGATAGAGGTAGCTTCTTCATGATAAGTTATTGGACGAAGTACGTCCGTGTCGAAGGCGATTTTAGACTTACATTTGTACGTGTTTGCGGTTTGGTCGGAGACTTTATCGAGCTCTGACCTTCCAATCAATTTTGTCAGCCACATAAATTTTCAGCTCCTGTAAGGCTCTTCAACCAAATATGAAGCTCCTCAAGGGAGCGCGGCTCCTCAACGGAACGCGGTTTCAGTCTCGCCGACATGGGCTCCTCAATGTCGCGTTCACCTGAACGTGTAAAAATAATAATAATCAATCATTGACGGAAAAGCTCAAGAGCGTGACTATAAAATCGGACTGGCACCCGACACGTGCTTAAGGGGGGGGTCTACCCTCCAGAAAAACTTCTACATTTACTAACGGATCTTTCTGAAACTCACACCATGTATGTAAAACAAAATAAAAACACATTTTGTTCGTATGACTTTTTCGAAAAAATTAATATAAAACGTGAAATTCATAGAAAACCGACAAAAAGGGGGTACTGTAGAAATCTATCTCCTCCTATGGTTTTCAAGCTACAACATTGAGACAAATACCATTCGATTCGTAAAGACCATATCAATCGAGTAACGAAGCCCGATTTTTCATTTTGCCTTAGTTTTTTTATACGCATTTTCCCGTTTTTTCTCATTTTCTTCTAATTTTCTTCCAATTTTCCCCTCTCCCCCCATTTTGAATCCAAACTATGCACAAATCTAAAAAAGCTTCGTTACTCGATAGGTATGGTCTTTACGAATCAAATGGTATATGTCTCATCGCTGTATCTTCAAAACTCTAGGAGGAGATAGGTTTTCCGCGACAATAAGTGTGAATGTTGAGGAGAGCGCGACAAAGTCCCGCGCGGATCACAAAATGCGCTAAATGTAGCATAGATACCAAACTAAACGTTTCTGGAGCTTGATTCCACTCGAGGATGGTGGGAGCGACTACATGCGCACCTTTCCCTACAAAGCCCGGAGGCACACTGAGTCAGACCTCACAATTTTAGTCACAAAAACACTGCATTTGTAGTGCTGAGGCAGCGAATTAGTTCCAATGTAATTATTGAAAGAACTCACCTCCCGCCCCACTTCATGAAGTGTCGTGTACGTAAAAATCAACGTACAGAGATGGTAGTGGTACCGTTAGATAGGCCAGAATGTCAGCTTTAAGATGAGACTAAACAAGTAACTGCAGCACAACTCAAGTAGACACTATATTTTAAGAGCTCAGCAGCTAATTAGTTCCCATCTAATTACTTGAAGAACTCTCCCACCCGCCCCCCTTTCATGAAATGTCCTGAAATCATAAATCAACGTACAGAGATGGCAGTAGTACCGTTGGATAGGGCAGAATGTCAGCTTTAAGATGAGACTAAAAACCAAAAATGCTAAATCCGAAAATTTTAGGGTAGACCCCCCCTTAAAACAATAAAAAACGCGAAATATTTCTGATAGCGAAGTTAAATACGCTAAATCGGAGGATTTCCCTCCCGGAAGTTGGAAGCCAAGCCCCGCCAACTCTGAGCGGGCAAGCTTCCATGGACGTAGCGTATCTCTATAGTGAAAAGCGTGAGAGCATCTAGCTTTCAACATCGTTGCTTAACATCGTTCAATTACAATATTGTGTTGAAAAAGTTTCGTAGATGATGCACTGTATGACTGTACAGAAATTGTTAGGCCACAGTTTGCTAGGAAGTCTCTTTGTGCATATTAAAAAGTTTTATGTTTGTGAGTGAATGCGGGACGCCATTTGCATAGACTGTGACTCCAAACACGTGTGGGCTCGGTATAATCCAAGTGTGGAAAATTGAGGTAATCTTTGTGACTAATTGAGTTAGACTGAGTGGCCGATATTGCTCTATTTTAACTATTACAATGGATTGTCTCATCGATTAATCATTAATTAGCCGCCCACCTATTTCACTTATCTAATGTTTCTCTTAGTGAAGCTTGGGTCTGCCTAATCAGGTCCTTCACGTGGTTGTGTCATTAAAGTTAATAATGTGTAGTAACTTACCAGTCAATTTGCATTTATGAGATAGATGCAGTCAGAATAGTTGAAATGATTGAATTTGAATTGGGGGAATTCAAACAGTGGATGTGCTGTCGTACTGTGGTCATGATTTCTGTAAATCACATTTACCTGGAATGACTGACTTCCTTACTGCTTCTAGAATATGTAATAATTCATTGTTCTTCCTTACGCAGCTATCGTAAATACGTCACTGTATTATTCTAGTTTGTTTTAGTGCATTTACTGAGCCGTCAAGCAAACGTGAGTAATCAATGTTCCTATAAGGAGGATTTTCATGCAAGCTGTGATAGTGTTAACACTACCTAACTGGAGGCCCATTTTTTGCTGAAGTCAGACAGAGGCTGGTAATAACTGAGATTACTAACTTAGTTGCCTATCTTACGTAGCTGATTTTGTTGAGCTCTGAGATTTATGCTTGAATTATTTTGAATAGCTGGTAGTTGTGGATGTCATCGCCTTTCCATACACTACGGTAGGCCTTGTCCGTAAATATAGGCTAATACTTGCATATGAGAAAACTAAAGCTTTTGTTTGAAACAAATGTGCAGAAACCTACTCAAACGTCCTCATTTTTCATTTCAAAGCGCAATTTTTCAATCCTAGAATTAAACTTGGATTGCTCACCCCTAGGGGGGTTATTATACATTGGGAAAGTGCATTTTTTCTATTCCTCTTCATTTCATGCTGTAGGTACTACATTCCGAGAATTATTTTTAAAGCAATAAATAGTTAAGTATGGCCATTCAAATGTTTCTAGAACAACTAAGTTTACATCAGATTTCTGTTTGTATCCGATGTTTATTTGGAATAGTTCAGATGCAATTCCATATGTACAGGTTTTTTACGCTGGTAAGATAGAATAATTTGTTATTTATATCCTCTTCTTTTTTGGACCATCCATCGCTGTCAAGTCAGCGTTAGGCGGATAACATAACGGAATTTTCTTTCGCGCTAAAATTATTCTGCAACAAATTCTCAGAAAATTCTTATTGTCGGAGCTTTCCAGCAACAATGCAACAGAGCACTTGAGAAATGATTATCTACCACTTACCGCTGTGGTGTAATCACGAAACACGATGACCAAGTACAGAGAATACGTAGATGAGGTCATGTCGCAGAAGGCTAATTACTTAATGAATAAATATTTGATATGCTAAGCAGCAATGAACTTGTATATTGCATGCGTCTCCTCTACCCATCCCGCCATGGCAATTACAATGGAGATAAAAATTATTCTTTTAATGTCAAGATGAAAATGTGGCACTGGAATAAATAAATAGGTCATATTTCCCAAATGTCCACACACTTCCTTACCCACGGCACGAGCCCAGAAAGGACGTTCCACTGCTTCTATGGTTAGGAATACCACACAAATTCTTTAATTTTATCGCAACTTTGACTTGATTCTCAGTCATCTTTGAGTGTAGAGCAAGGGTTTGGCAAACTTTTTCCCCGCCGACCCCTTCATTGGACATTTTTTTTATCAACATAGACCCTCTCCATGCAATCTCATACAAATAGGTGATAAAAAGAACCGTAATTTATATTTTTGGTGGATATAAGTACAGAGAAATGCTACCAATCAAACTAAACTGATGTGCGTAATACCTTTTTATAGATGTATAATGTGAGAAAGCAGTCGTCACTAATATGAAGTAAAAAAGAGACGGTCAGAATTGTATTTGCTAACGAATGAAGAATTTCAATATTTCGGAAACAATAATGGTTAAAAAATCTATATAATCTTTGTAGTAGATAACATATATGCAACTTAATCCATTCCTCTCCGACCCACATGCCTTTTTTGACCCACTGAGTTGAAATTTCATGTTTATTTTGGAAAAAAATTCTTAGCAAATAAATAAAATAATAATGAATAAAAAAAGTATTTAACATCTAATAATATTAGTATCATATTTATGCATAGTCTTTGACTTGTCACTGATCCTCTTTGCGGCTTTAGTTAAGACATATTCTCCTGGAGTTCAGTTGACTGCCGTTACTTCTAATGATTAGGATTCGGGGAGTATGAGGGTTTCTGAATACCGTGAAAATTGTCGATCCGGGTTTCTTCGTAAGTTAGGTGACGGGGGACTCCTTTATGTTGGCCGGGGGGCATTGTGAACATTTTCTGTGGATGGTCAATATTTACTGGTTAGTAGAGACTCATGGCTTCTACCCCTGAGATTCTTCCTTTGGTCGGAATTTTCCCTCAAAGAACTACCCTGCATTAGAAGAATTTCTGATTCCGACCTCAAACCTATAGTTTGAGGTCGATATAGCATCTGTCCAAAGTTGTTTATAATATAAATCCAGGACAAAACAAAAGCATCATTTACAGTTTTTTGTGTCAGCACATAAAATGTATTATTTGCTTACTTGAGGCAAGTATAATCCTAAAACTACTACGGTTACAGATCTTGAGGAATATCTCCATCTGTTCAGTGAATAATATTACTTTTCTACCGGAAAAAGCTAGAAAATTACCTTGCGACGCAAGTCTGTGTTCGCTGCATCGGCGTTGACGGTTGACTCCCATTTTTCGTCCAACCTGGGGGCGTCTTTCCTCTTCAGAGTATTCGATTTCGAAGCCGGAGCTACAGGAGATCTCGAACAAACTAGCCCACTGCGCGGAGGTGATGCTGAAGTTACCGTCATCACAATGACTTCGGGATCTGCAAAACTCACTGATTAAAATTAACAAGCAAATTACACATGCACTGAGAAGCAACAAGTCTTTATATTCGTAGGGTTTCGAGAATTCCATTCTGTTAAGAGTAGTTCTGATGTAAATCGGATTTTCATTGAATTTCGAGTCCGAATACAATATTACTTCGGAGTCATCTCTTTACTTAAATGAAGAGAATAAGAAGTTTTAAAATAAAAGAAGAGAATAAGAAGAAAGCCATTGTTGAACTTAAGATCGGTGAGACATTTTAAACAACTTATTGTTATCGTTTTTATATAGACAACTATGAAGTTTGTAATATAATTTCCAATTCAACTTAAACCAACCCAGATTCGTTGCACTTTACAGCCAATGGTGCGTTTCACGTCTCATTATAACTTTTGCTTTAGCTATGCTTAAAAGGCGCTCCGCTGCCATTTTCGAGAGTTTTAAATTTTCTGAATGTATCAACCTGAATTTCTTTCTACACTAAAACCATCTTGCACAATTTTTATACAATTTCTATTAAACCCCTCTTCGGGCAAGGTAGGAACTCTCGGTTTGTGTTTTAGCCTTCGTTTTCATGCCTCTACCAATAACCAATCATCGAGTTTGAGGTTACGTAATCACGCCTTTGCCAATCTCCAACCATCGTGTTTGAGGCCTCAGCAACTCTGTTGCTGAGGCTGAAGCATACCTTAAATTTTGTTAGGACAGTTGAGCATCGGGCCTCACCTACTCTTGCCTAACTTTTTCTGGATTACTATTATACACGCTTCTACGGCTCACAACTTTGTTGCTGCCAATGACTGGCTGTGCGTGCTCACTCACTACTCGAAATTTTGTTTGGGTGCCTGCTTATGATCGAGCGTGTTTGAGTATTGGCCGAAGATCTACGGCGCTATTACCTTTAAACAGTGGGTCACTGGTCTGGATTACGGTGTTCCAGCGTAAGAGAAAAATTATGGCCGTTGTTTGTACCCCCTTTTGGTCTGGTTCTAAGTCTATGCTTTGTTCTTAATTTTAACCTTCTAACCTACAAAATTTCATGCAACATAAGAAAAGGATTCATGACTTACGTCAGGACAATTTTAGTTAGAGAAAATTGAGTAACATTTGGTCAGACTAGGAAGAAACTAAGTCGACTTCACCGTTCTTTGTTTGTTGACTTATTGCCGTGGAGCACTTGAAAACCGCTGTACTTTCCGGCTGCCAACTCTTGCCGGGAGTAGCACCACCTGCGGACTGCCTCTTCTTGCCGCAAAGAGCTACACCTGCCGAATGCCGCATGCTGCCAGCAGTAGCATCACATGAATGCTGCCGATCGTCGCTCGCCAGCTTCTTGATGCGGTACTGGGGATTAGGACCTTATTAAGATTAGGACCTTATTAAGATTAGGACCTGCGTGGTACTGGGGATTAGGACCTGTGTTTGATTAGGACCTGTGTTTGATTAGGACCTGCGTGGTACTGGGGATTAGGACCTGTGTTTGATTAGGACCTGCGTGGTACTGGGGATTAATTAGGACCTTAATTTTATTAGGATTTGCGAGGTACTGGGGATTAGGACCTGCGGCATTTTGATTAGGACCTGCGCGTTACTGGGGATTGGGACCTTTATTTCCCAAGAACAGAGTGAGAATTAGTCCAAATTTCGATGCACTTCTTGCCCTTTTGTATGGGTCATCTTAGCCCAGTTTGGTTGGGAAAAAGGGGTATCAGTGCAAAAAGTGAGATTATCTGGACAATGTGATCGATTAACTTGTCTGAGCGCACCTCATCCTCCCATCAACTTCTTCTCTCAGCTACGGCAATGTAGTAGAAATAATGTCACTACGACATGATAAATGGAGTTCAAGATGAGTTTTGGGAATACAGCATCGAATTTAAAAATATCGCATGTTCAGTAGGTTGTAGCAAAAAAAATTGTTTTGGGAATTCGTCATCCGATTATGATTTTTTTGTTGATACCTGCCAAATTTATCCTCTTCAAAGGATATACCATTCAAACCACTTTCTGAGTTACCGCCAAGATAGGTGAAATTACAAAAATTGAATTTCCACTGTAATTTTAATTTAAATTCATAACTAAGCACATATTCGAAAAAAAATGATTGGAAAATGACTACACAGACTTTCAATTGTTATTGCTAGTTTCTAACAACGCTAGACGCCTCGTTGTAAAGCTCAAAGTAACGTTATTTTCCCTAATTTTAATGGATTTAAAGGCACGGTATCCTGTTGATACTACTTAATCAAAAGCAATTTTGCTAGCTGACATAATTGATACGAAGGCTATTTAAAATCGAAATCTAGAATAAATCATTTCATGGATGAATGAACGTTGTAGCTTCACAAAACTCGTTAATAATTCTATGTTTTTAAAGTTTCTTTTCACACGGAAAATTATATTTATGAAAACGGCTGACAATTTTTTCCACCCTGGTTTGTAATTGCGTGTATAAGAATATCAAGTTTGGTGGCGATAACATAAATAACTATTTTAGCTTGAAAATGTTCTTACCATATACTATATTAATTTTAGTTTCAATCGTGAACAGGTTCAAGAAATGATTTAAGTAAGATTGGACGAATGACATTGCATTTCTGCTGTTTAACTCGCATTAGCTCAAAACGATGTGGATTTCCATTTTCACCAATTCGATAATTTATTCACTTTATAATTATTAAGACTTTTTTACTTATTTTATTGGATACAATGGTTTATTGTGCAAAAATCTTGATTTGAGTTTTATGCCAGTATCGACCAGGAAATTTATTCCACCCACCTTCAACCTATGGCAATCTTTTCCAGCTGCATCCATCTTTTTCTTTATTTCAGAGAATTCTCCAATTTCTTCGGGTTCTAATAATAGGCGCTTGAGAATTTCCCTGCACTGATGCCTCTTGTTCTCATCAGCACCGGAAACTGAAGTGTCCCAGGCCTGGAGATCTTGCTCTGTCGACACTCTCTGGGTCTGTAGGATTTTATGACCTTCTTTGAAAGGAGTTATCAAGTCGATTTTATCAATAAACTCCAAAATTGCTCTAAACTCAGAAATGGATTCATCGGCGCGCTTGAGCTTGCATTTCATCATGGTCCGTATTTTTGCCCTGGATTCGACAACAGTTTCATCTCCTTGTAGCAGATCGTCAATCGTGTCAATTTTGTGCGCGGCGTGAGTGCCTCTGGTGCACGCAAAACACACGAGTTCCATGCAGTCCATGCACAAATAATCCAGTGCTTTCTGGTGCTGGAGGCACGCCGTCTCTGACGATGGATGTAGGTCACGTTGACTTGGTTTTTTCTCAGCGAGGTTGTTAACCAACATTTGATCGGTATATTTTAATGTTGATTTCTTGCATTTAGTGCAGTGTATTGCTCCATCGACGTATGGTAAACTCGAAATGCAAGAGAAGCAAAACCCGTGGCCGCAGGACAGGCGAAGCGGCTTGCGGTTCAAAGAGTCGAATTCTTTAAAACAAGCTTTGCAGTTCGACATTTTGGGAGTTGCGATATATACTTCATTCAATATGCATATGACACCAAACAGTCACTTTAAACGTAGCTAATATTTCAAATTCCTTAGCGTGACCCGTTTGAATATTTTGTTTTAGTTTGCCTCGACATAAACTGAACTTGATCACTTTGTAAATTTGAGTCAATTTGTAAACACTTGAATAGCAAACACGTCAAAGTTCCGAGGGAAGACTTCTGCGTCTCGAAAAAGTTTTATTCTCAAAATTCATTGGAAAAGTTTAGTACCCAGCATCAAAGAACTTTAGTTCATAAAATTTCGTTTACGATGCAGGTGTAATATTTTTCCGAATTCTCCTTTACTGGTTACTGTATGATTTCTCTTACATTTGAATATCATAAAGATTGAATTTTCCGATGCTTGAAAAATATCAAAACCTCTGTGACTACCGGGAAATTCAGCCTTAAACGCATCTTTTATTCCGCGCACTACCTTTAGCACTTTCAATATTGAACTGCCGTTCTTCCAAGCCTTGATAGGTTGGAAATATTAAATCTAATCAGATATGAACGGAAGCCACATTTCATCGTTATCGCAAGATTTTCACATGATAAGTTTATGCGTGAACATATTTGGTTACGCAAAGTTTATTATTGAATTTAATTGAAACCATAAATTTTATGAAAGAATTTCCGCACTAAATAACCCCATATATCTCTGATCAACTTCAGTCACTACGATACACTGAACTCCACATTATTGTTATATTGCTATGCTGATACCGCTTCCTTTCCTCTAATCTTAACCATAGTCTCAACTGAGGAGAAATCAATTCTTTCTCAGTGATTGATTTATACCATTAATCATATAAGCTTACCTTTATTTTTTATCTTTATTTTCACATTCACTCAGGGAATTGATGAGACGTTGTGAAACTTTTAATGCACTTCTTGCCTTTGTGTGAGTCATCCTGACGCATTTTAGCCTGGCAAAAGAGCTTAACATTGCTACGTCCGCTCTCTGCTAGTGAAGTAGGTAAAAAATTGTATTAATATTAGCAATAATATACGTTTAAAAACTACTTTTTAAAGACAACACTTCCAAAGAATCCAGTATCTCCAATCTTACATATGTACAATGAATTTCTCGTCTAATTTTCGTAAATTAAAAAAATTACCTTTTCAATTTTTTAAATATATATAAAAATTTTTTAATATATACATTTTTTTCAAAATTATTTATTCTGTTAATTGATTCGTGCATTGAATTGAGGCGGGATGGTGTCGAAATTGAGGCGGGATGGTGTCGAAATTGAGGCGCGATGGATTCCGAATTGAGACGGGATGAAGTCGAAAAACAAAGATGATCGAGCAGGAAAATGGGTACAAATTTAATCTGATGAAAATGGCTAACTCAGGAAAATTAATGGATGATATTGTTCAAATAGTGAATAATTTTCTTACTCACCGCTCGAGCTGGGAGCGGACGTTGCGCTTATACGCCCATATATGTATGCTGGGAAAACTAGATCAGGATGACCCATACAAGTGCAAAAATTACGGAGCGCAAAAATTGACTCTTAGAGACAGAGGAACACGTACGTGTATAAAAATATAAAAACAGAGAAGTCACCATGAGGGGTGGCAAAAAATTATAAGATTTTTAGTCATTACTGAAGTGATTCTATGAATTTTAATGTATAATATTTGAATACGAACACAAAATTCTGGGTTTAGAACAGCTACAGCTTATTTACTTAGCATGACTCCCCAAATGAACAGATTTCCTATTCATCAATAAAGTAGGCAATAACTATTTATACGGCTTCGAGATGCTCTTTCTACATCACTACCCAAATAAAAATTTAGAGTGGAGCACCTATGTTTTTATGGTGGCTATCGGCGGACCCCATAGGTGGAGCTTATATGATTTATACAGTGAATTAAGGGTGGCGTGCACCACCTATCCCACACCTATAACCTGCCAATGGCCACCACACCCGTAAAGCTCTTCGTACATCAATAACCACCCATTGGCACCGGTGGCGCATCAATGAGCCACCAGTGGCCACCTTTAAAATGAATTCAATAAAAAATTTTCCTTTAATTTCAAATCCGATGCTTCTGCATTTACTGATATTGCATCACCCAATCACCATTCTAAAGGCCCGTTCACACTAGGGGCAACACACGAGAATCAAGTGCCTCAAAGCGCATGCAAAGGCGCTTTGCAGCCTCTGCATGCGCTTCTTGACCGATTGACGAGCTAGCGATTGACAGGGGCCATGCCTCATGAAACACAAGCGCGGCACTTAGTAGATAGCTATTAAAGAATTGATATCACTTGTTACAATTATATCAGGAACAGTCTGATACATGCCCAGTGGCTCCACTTTGGCTCAATAATTTTGTGAACACCATGCTTCTCTGTCAGCTTTATTGGTGCCTACCTAATTCACGCAAAATTTTCTTAACATAACTAATTCTTAAAAGCCAAACACACAAAACGAAGTCATGGTTTCGTTTTGATCTCGAATGACCCGCAATCCAATAACACCTTTCTACGTTGGATAAATTACTGTGGCAAATACCTTCGTGCATTGTGTAAGCAAACTGTTTTCAGTGACTTAAAAGAGATTTGCCTGCAATGTGCTATCGATTATTCAGACCTTACAAATCAGCGATGATTCATAGATGACTGCCACCTTTATTCGCCAGCCTTTCGATTTATTGATGTTTTATTGTCGATTTTTGGCAAATCTGGCCACTCACCGTTACGCCACCTATAAACTACTATCGCCACCTATAATCATCGGTGCACCACCCTTAATTTTTATTTGGGTATGTAACAAAATTTCACCTTTTTTTCTTGTTCCTGGCTTGAAAACATAATTTCCCAGTTCATTGCAACTAAACAAAATTAAAAAGAACAATTTTTGTCTCAGAACTTCGCTTTTGTGGTTTTCACAAGGAATTTTCATATCTGCATTTCTTCAATATCGTATCAGTTCCTTCTAATGTTCAAATAAGCAAAATCGAGTTGGAGTGATGAAAGTTTGATTAAAAATAAGCCAAATAAGTTTAACCAATACAAAGAAAGAAGAAAAAGTCTGAAAAAAACTGTATTTGATTTCAACCTTCTTTTTTGGACCAGATTTGATTAGAAATCTCTAGAATTTCGTTGAATTTACTCAATGTTCAAGGAATATGCCAGAATATTCTAGAATAATTATAAATCTTCCAAAGAATGTTCAAGAATATTCTAGAAAACTTGAGAACATTCTAGAAACCTTTCAAGAAAGATTGAGAATGTTCTAGGACATTGCTTTACAATATAAAAGGAAGCCATGCAAGTCAGCCTGCAGTTCAGCATGGCTACCAGAGAAAACACATCTGAAGCTGAGAAATGGCAACAAGAGGCTGCAATTATTCTCCAGATGCTTTCTGCTACATCTGTGGTCAATTTATTAAGACAAAAGCAAGGAAGTTCTCTGTCACAGCATCTCAAAAAATGTGAAGCTTATAAAGCTTATTTTGGCATGCCAGTTGGGGACCAAGACAAAACATGGGCACCTCATGTTGTTTGTGAGCATTGCAAAAAGACATTGGAAGGTAAGAAATTTGTTCATTGATTACACAATGGGTAAAATCTTTACAGAATAATTTTATGAAATGTATTTTATAGAAACTGATTCTCTTGTTCTTATTCAGGGTGGTATAGAGAAGAAAATAGAGCAATGATGAATGAAGTTTGCTGTTCCTAGAATATGGCGTGAACCCACTGATCACTCAACCAACTGCTTCTTCTGCATGGTAGATCCTTCCAAACGTCGAGCTGGCAAAAATGCACCTGCAGTATCTTATCCAGACCTTCCTTCTTCTATTGCACCAGTACCACACAATCTTGATCTTCCTGTACCTACACCTCCAGAAAGAAGTCAACCATCAGAGGAACAAAACAGTAAATCAGAAGATGAGGATTGTGCAGATGATTATGATATTACAGATGAAGCTACTGTGAGGAATCCTTGCTACCCAAAGCAAACAGACCTCAATTATCCTCGGAGATCTTGGCTGACAAAGTCAAATGCTGAGCTTCTGATTTCAAGGCTCAAAGAGTGGGACTTAGTGGATGAAACTGTACAAGTAACAAGTAAAAGGAAACGTCACCAGCATTTTTCAAAAAAGGTTTTGTTCCCTCCATTACACATCAAACTAGGTCTGATGAAACAGTTTGTTACAGCTCTTGATAAAGAGTCTGTAGCCTTCAAATATCTGCAAGCCTTCTTTCCTAAGCTATCAGATGCAAAGGTGAAAGCAGGTGTCTTCATTGGACCACAAGTCAAGAAAATCATGGAATGCTCAGAATTTGCCAAGACACTTACAGAGAAGGAAAAGAAAGCCTGGAAGAGTTTTGTTGCTGTAGTACAAGGTTTTCTGGGCAATAGCAAGGCTGACAATTATGCAGAACTTGTTGAGACTATGGTGAACAGCTATGGTCAAATGGGTTGCAGGATATCCTTGAAGGTCCATATCCTTGATGCTCATCTTGATAATTTCAAGGAGAATATGGGAGCATAATCTGAGGAACAACGGGAGCGCTTCCATCAAGATGTAATGGACATTGAATACAGATATCAGGGTTCTTATAATGAAAACATGATGGGAGACTACCCTATCGAAATTCGAAGACCTGTCAGCCGCTGGCACACGGACGCCCCAGGTTCTTATGGCCGGGTAAATTAGAAGCTCTATGTCCGCATTAGGTTCCGGTTGCCGTAGCGAAATAAGCGCCGAAATGGTGAAGCTTGACCAGCTGCTCTTTTTAAGCATATTACGCAGATTTGGCCTACCGGGCAATTGACTTCCAAAAGAAGCTGGTAAATAGAAGCAAAACACCCTACGTGGCCGACTTGCTCCTGATTCACCCCTAAGCCGAATATAGTTCCTCTAAAACGACCTTAATCGGCACGAACATTTTGACAGGGTACATTTGGAGTCTTCTTCGGGAAAGTAATTTGTTGCATGCTCGTAAATCTAGAAAAACTGTTCATTTTTAACTTTGTAAACTTATCCAAGAAGGTTTAAAATAAATTTTGTATTGTATGTTTTTGTTTTATGTCCAAAAATAGCACGAAAGAGTGAAATTTGGCAATTTTTTGTCAAAATTTCATTCTGTAAGCTACAAAAGCAAAGTTTAAAAGGAATAATGGCCATTTTCTATTGTTTTGTAACAAAATGATTTGGAAAATAACACTTAGCCTACTTGCCAGGAACAAAAATTGTCACATTGTGAATCAATCAAACTTTTAAATACACGGCAGAAATAATTGAATTACTCTTCTCTTTGGTTTATGATTATTATCTGTGGATTGAGCAAAATTTATTAAAATGAAAAACTATTAAAAAATTTCCGCATGAACTTGAGCTTTATTCGGATCTACGCATGAGTATGGCCATCTTTATCACGGTTACTCACGAAAAGGTTG